CTTCTAGCTGAGAGTCCTCACAGAAGAATTCACAGAGTAAACTTCTGACAGCCGGATCAGTGGAAGAAAAGCGTTTATGACTTGAGAATAGCAGAAGAAAGGTGTGTAGACTTTCAGAGACTAAGTTTTAATTTATTTTCTTATTACTTGGGTTTATATAAATGTGACGTGTGTTTTTTGAACAGCGTACCGGTAGAATTTAGTTCAGTTACGGACTAGTTAGTAGTTAAGGGGGAATTGTTTTGTCTGTTAGTAATTCTGTTATTTTGTTCACTGTTAGTGTTATATAAATTGTTACTTGTTACTTATAAAGTGAGTATCAGGGATTTTCTTACATTTAACCTCCACTTCTCTCTAACAGTTTAACAGATTAGGCGAGGTGAGGCGAGCTTTCTGGGTGTTTCGGGTTTAATTATTAGAAGGGGTTCTCTATTCCTGCCGTAACAGACTGAGGGCTTGTGTTTCAATTTGAATTATCAGAGGTGTTTGACCTCCCCTTCCTAACAAGTGACCGTAGAGTCATACAGCAGAGAAACAGGCCCTTTGGCCCACCATGTCTATGCCGACCAACAAACACCAAACTACTCTAATCCCATTTCTCTGCACTGGGTCCATAGCTTACTGTGTCCTGGCATTTTAAGTGCTTGTCCAGATGCCCCTTAAATGTTTGCAGAAGTACATGCCTCCACCACACTCTCAGGCAGGCAATGGCATTCTCATTGGGCTTGTAATTCCAAAGCCCAGGTTAAAGCATTGATGACATGGGTTCAAATCCCACCAGCATACACAACGAAATCTGAATTCAACAACTGGGAGGAGAAAGCTTGTCTGATGGGGCTCATATGTTCACTGTCAGGAAAACCCATCGAGTTCACTCATGTCCTGAAGGAAGGAAAGTGTGCGTAACAGAGGAGTTGGATGAGTTACAGTTTGTGTGAAAAGTCAGGGGTACGGTGTGTGATTGAGGGAGGGGATACAGTGTGTTAGAGAGGGTGGGGACTCGATGGAGTGCAGTGTATGAGAGAGAGAGGGTGGGGCTATAGTGAGAAAGAGAGAGAATACCTCAGTTACCTGTTTAGGGCTGTGTTGTTGGCATTATTTGTGTTTGCATTGTCAGTTGCTGGGAAGAAACTGGTTGTGTTAAATGGCGAATCTGTCAGTCTGCTGTGTGGCGATTCAGGCTCCTCTCCTCCACCCTCAGATTTGCTGAATTGTAACGGTCGCTGGCTCGTCATGTGTTGCTGCAAGGAACCACTTCTGTTCATTGGATACGAATCAGGCTGTTCTCCAAACAGACCACCCGTTCTCTGGAATGACAGAATTCAAATGGGATTGCACCAACAGGGAGACAACTGAAATTAATCAAATCTCAACTGTTACCACATAAGAAAGAAAATTCAAATGTTTCTGTTTTTGTCCTTGATTCAAAATTGGAACAAATAGACATGGCAGTGACTGTTAAGAGATACAAGGTCAAGGACTCTCCTGATTAGTGTGTTTATTGAGGAGGCCATTAATCACCAGTGCTCACTATAAATATCTTGGTTTTGTGATTGCTGACATTGTTTGGGAGCTATAATTATTTAATATGAGTACTTGGGAGTTATTATTACTCGATACGAGTGTCCAGGAGTTACAATTACTCACTACTACTGTTTAGGACTTATAGAATCATACAGTCAGACAGCACAGAACAGACCCTTTGGTCTGACCAGTGCATGCCTTATTATTACACTTTATGACTGTCTGGGAGTTATTACTCACAATGAGTATGTAGAAGTTATCATTACTCACTGTGAGTGTTGAGGAGTTGTTTTTACTCACTGGGTGTGTGGTCTCTGTTATTACTCACTGTGAGTGCTCAGGACTTATTACTGCTCACTGAATCTTTGGGAATTGCCATTATTTAGAGTCATTATTGCTCCCAATGAGTGTTCCGGAATTATCATTGCTTGTTATGAGTTGTTAATGCTCAGTATGAGTGTTTGAGAATTATCATTATCCACTACAAGTTATTATTAGTCACTGTGAGGTATTATTACTGACTGTGTGTGTTGGGAATGATTATTACTTACTGAGAGGTATTATTGCTCACTGTGAGTGCTTGCGAGATACTAATGTTCACTATGAATCACCACCATCCAATATAAATCTTTAACCTTCACCGTTTTTCACCATGAACATTTTACAGTCTCTGTTGTTACTATGGGAGCTATGCTCACTATCACAGTCAATCATGACTCTGCCACGATGAGATGGGATGTTCTGACTTGATCTGGTGGAATGTACAAACTCTTAATGCTGAATGAATTTCTGCAGACCGTTTCTTCTCATCAATGAAAGACGTATGTGGATCATCATCATGGAAACCGTCACCATGCAACAAGTCCCGTGAAGTGACTCACCCTATAAATTGTTTCGTCCAAGCCCCCTTCCTCCATTGTTTGGTCTCCTTCCTCTTCAACTGGCAGCTCTCCAGATACACTTCGATGGAGATTATCACCAACCTCCTCCTCAATACTGCGCAATCCAGCCTAACGTGGAAGTAGGATGAAAGGTCAAGCACTGTACAACACCTCTCAGATATCCAGCTCATCCCTTAACAGCCCCACTTATCCCCTACATCTTCATCTCCTACTGAGGGAGGCATTGGCCTAATAGTATTATCGGTAGACTATTAATCCAGCCAGTGATCTGGGGATCTGGGTTCAAATCCCACCATGACGGATGGTGCAATTTAAATTTAATAAAAATCTGGATTGAAGAGTCTAATGATGCCTATGAAACCTTTGTTAATTGTCAGAAAAACCTATCCGGTTGGCTAATGTCCTTTAGCCATCCTTACCTGGTCTGGCCTATGTGTGACTCCAGACCCACAGTAATGCAGTTGACTCTTAACTGTCCTCTGGGCAATTAGGGATGGGCAACGTATGTTGTCCTAGCCAGCGACACCTACATCTCATGACTGAATAATAAAAAAAAACCCACACCCGTCCTATTGACTACTCTCTATTTACTCCACTACATATGTTGCCAATTCTTTTCTGTTGCCTGTTGACCAGGGTTGAAAGTGCTCTGGATGACGTCTGACAAACCTGACTGTTATACCTCAGTTCCCTTTCAGGATCCAGCATGCAGTTCACCTCAAATACATTTTGGTATAATTTTAGTCAAAACCAGCGACTTTGTTTTAAAGAAGAAACTCCAGTTAGTTACTAATAAAAAAAAGAAGCCACAAGATTCCATGGTTTAAGACAAAATAATTTTTACTGTGCAAGATTCAAACAAACCAAATACTGAATATTTTCACTGGGTGACCAACTATACTCAAACACCTGAACCAACATGAGTTAAACATGAATTAACAGGCTAATTGGACTTGATTATAAACTATATTATAAACTATAAACACATTAAATGGCAGATACAAACAAGTCTTATGAAATAAGTCGGCAGTGCACTTGGCATATCGGTCATCAATCTCAGTCACAAAGTCCTTTAAATCTTCATCTTTCTCACTAAAAATTTAAACTCCCCTTCTTCTGGGATTTGGCCTGATCCCCAGCTGACATTGGTGCATTATTAATCCAAGATCCACATGCAGGCCTTTATGAAAAATGGCCCATGTCTGCAGAACACCCCAATTCTGCTGCTGACAACTTGGCTAGCGTGAATCCCTAACAGAAGCAGACACAGAAACTGCATAATTTGCCTATTCTCATTGATCGAACTTCTGTCTACTTCAGTCTGCTTGTGCTGCACCAGTGACATCATGAACTGGCCTGGGATGGCTCTGTGTCTTTCAATGCATTTAAAGCAGCTTCAATCTTCAGAAATTTTGGCTTACAATCTCAAATTCAGATTTAGTTTCCATAGAAACTTAAGAGGTTCAGCTTCGCTTTTCAATTTGGGTCTGTCTCAAAAAGTACAAGCTTTCAAATCACAGACTCCACCACATATATTATGCAACCTGATAGACAAACCTCAGTGCAATGTTACACGGAGAAAGACACCGATATAGTTCTCCTCACTCATATCATGGATCAAAGTGTCATTGAGGCATACAGCATGGAAACAGGCCCTTCAACCTGTCGTTCATGCGACCAGGTTTCCTAAACTGAACTAGTCCCATTTACCTGCATTTAGCCCATATCCAAATAAACCTTTCCTACCCAAGTACCTGTCCAAATGTCTTTTAAATGTTGTAACTGTACTCATCTCTACCACTTCCTCGTTCCATACACACATCACCCTCTGTGTGAAAGGTCCCTTTTAAATCTTTCCCCTCTCACCTTAAACCTATGCCCTCTGTTTTGGACTGCCCGACCCCGGGAAAAGACCTTGGCTATTCACTTTATCTATGCCCCTCGTGATTTTATTAAACCTCTATAAGGTCAACCCTTAGCTTCCTACACTCCAGGGAAAATAGTCTCAGCCTATTCAGCCTGTCCAATAACTCAAACCTTCCAGTCTCAGTAACATACTTCTAAATCCTTTTGGCACCCTTTCTAGTTTAATAATATCACTTCTATAGCAAGGCGACGAGAACTGTACATAGTACTCCAAATGTGGCCTTACTAATTCTACTAAGCCTTACAGCCTTCTACAGCTGTAACAATACATTCCAACTCCTGTACTCAATGCTCTGACCAATAAAGGCAAATGTGCCAAATGCTTTCTTCACCACCCTGTCTATACCTGTGACACCACTTCTGAGAAATTATGCTTCGGCATCCCTTGGTTCAACAACACTCCCCAGGGTCCCACCATTAACTGTGTGAGTCCTGCCCTAGTCTGTCTTACCAAATGCAACTCCTTGTATTTATCTGCATTAAACTCCCATCTGCCATTCCTCAGACCACTAGCCCAGTTGATTGAAATCCATTGTACTCTTGGTTAACCTGTCCAATTTTTCACCAATTTTGGTGTCATCTGCAAACTTACTAGCCATGCCTCCTATATTCTCATTCAAATTGTTTATATAAATGACAAACAACACTGTTTGGTTTTCCCTGCCTCTGACAGACAAGATCTGAACTTTTGTCTCATCAATGTTACACTACAATTGACTGAAGGGGCTGCACAAACAAACTGCTCCTAACAAGTCCTTCTCTCTGCTCAGCATATTCTCCTACAGCTCTGGTTAATCATAGAATGGCTGCAGAACAGAAGGGAGCTATTTGGCTCATTGGGACTGTATCAGATCTTTGAAGAATCAAATCAACAAGACCCACTTGGACCCCTTTTCCCCACGACCATAACTATTTTTCCTTTTCAGATTATAATCTGATTCCCTCTTGGAAGCCTCACCACTCACTGCAGGAAAGCATTTCTCCCCATGTGGCTATTGCTTCTTTTGCCAATCCCTTAAATCTAATTCTGATACTTCCACTACTGAGTTCAACACTAACCTCCTTGTGGTTAACAACATTTCCAGACAAAGTGTGGGGATTGAATTCTTAATATGTATTCAGGAGAGTGTTTTAAGTCGGCACATAGAATTGGTGGAAGAATAGGCCAATTTTAATAAGATGAATCTGGCCAAAGGAGACTGGGAGCATCTACTTCCAGGAAAATCTACATCAGAGCAGTGGGAGTCTTTCACAAGGCAATAACGAGAGTGCAGGGCCAACATGTTCCTGTAAAGGTGAAGGATGTGGCCAACAAGTCCAGAGAATCATTCTATGATGGGTCTATGAACTGTGCACATCAAGAGATGTACAGGATTGGATAAAAAAACAAAGGAAATTTATGGGAGAAGCCAAAGGCTCAAATGCCCAAGACAGTATAAAAATGCAGGGGATTGCTTAATAGAAGAAATTAATAGAGCAGAGAAGCGACAAGAAAAAACAGTGACAGGCAACACTGAGGAAAATCCAAAAGCACTTTATAAATATATTAGGGGCAAGAGAACAACCAGGGAAAGTGAAGGGCACATTAAAGATCAAAGTGGTGATCTCTGTGTATGGAGCTGGAAGACACAGCCAATGTTTTCTATAAATACTTTGCATCTGAACCTACAATTGAGAAGGACAAAGTAGGTTTTGAAATCAGGGAACAGGACTGTGCTCCTTCACAGAGAAAGAGAGAGACAGAGAGAGAGAGAGGAAATATTAGCAGTTTTATCAGGCTTGAAAAATGATAAATCCCTTGGCCTAGATGAGATGCATCCCAGGCTGGTGTGGAGGGCTGAGGAAGAGGTTGCAGGGGCTCTGACATTAAGTTTCAGGTTCTCTCTGGCTACAAAAGGAGTGCCGGAGGACTGGAGGACATCTAATATGATAGTATTATTCAAGAAGGATGACCGGTGAGTCTAACATCTGTGGTCAGGAAGCTACTAGAAAAAGTACTGAGGAACAGAATCAATCTGCACATGAAGAGACAAGGATTAATCAAGGACAGTCAGCATGGCTTTCTAAGGGAGATCATGTTTAACAAATCTCAGTGAGGTTTGAAGAGACGACAATGTGTGTAGATGAGGGCAGTGCAGTTAATGTAGTCTGTTCTGATTTCAGTAAGGCTTTTGACAAAATCTTACATGGCTGGCTGGTTAGGAAGGTCAGAGTCCATGGGAGCCAGGGCAATTTGGCAAATAGTAGCAGGACGCAGAGGGTAACGGTCAAAGGGTGTTTTGTCACTGGAAGGCTGAGTACAGTGGTGTACCACATGCTTCGGTGCAGTTTGTTGTGTACATTAACGATTTAGACGTGAAGATAGGAGGTATGATTAGTGAGTTTCACAGATGGCAGGAAAATTGATGGTGTGGTAAATAGCAAGGAAGAAAGCCTTAAACTACAGAATGATATAGAAGGCTTTGTCAGATGGGTTGGACAAGGTCAAAAATCACATGACACCAGGTTATAGTCCAACAGGTTTATTTGAAGACACAAGCTTTTGGAGTGTCGCTTCTTCAAGTGAGAGAAGTAGCATCAGACACAGAATTTATAAGTAAAAGATTTTATCAGCTCCCTCAGTATAAAACCTTTAGTTATCTCAGGGCAGTGATTTGAAAGAAATTCAGAAATTTGCATATTAATCCTTTCTAACTGATTAAAGATTTAACAACCATCTTAGGTTTGTTCAACACCGCATCAGTTCTATGACCCTTTGATCTTTTGCTTATAAATTCTGTTATAATGTTATATAAATTCATAAGTGCAGAAGTGGGGATGTTTGCTGATGGTACAAAGTTCAGAACTATTTTCCATTCCTCAGTTACTGATTGGATGCTCAAATGCAGCAAGACCTGGACAATATTCAAGTTGGGCTGAGAAATGGCAAGTAACTCTTGTACCACACAAATGCCAGGCATTGGCCAACTCCAACAAGAGAGAATCAAACCTTTACACTTTGACATTCAATGGCATTACCGTCACTGAATCCTGTGTTATGTTGAGATCATCATTATTTTTATTTCTCCTGTTGTTGGTTTGGAATTGTGAGCTGCAGTTGAGAATTGAACTTTGAAGCAGCTTGTTTTTTTAAAGAAAGGAACAAAAGACTGATGTTTGCTGTTGGGAAATGACCTGGAAAGATAATCTAGGTTAATTACTGCTTAAGAACACCGTAGGCAAACAGCATTGAGATGTCGTTATGCTCAGAGACTGGCAGCTGATTGGATCTAGAATTGGTCAATCAAGGCAAGTCCAATGCTGGCCAACCAACCACAGAGAACATTGAAAAAGAAAGAATGAGAAAACAAAGTATGAAGTGAAAACCGAAAGGATTGCGGATGTTGCAAATCAGAAACAAAAACAAAGTTGCTGAAAAAGCTCAGCAGGTCTGGCAGCATCTGTAAAGAGAAAATCAGAGTTAATGTTTCTACGTTCTGAGGAAGGGTCACCAGACCCAAAGCGTTAACTCTGATTTCTCTGCACAGATGCTGCCAGACCTGCTGAGCTTTTCCAGCAAAGGATGAAGTGGTTTTGACTGAGTCTTGGGTAGGATGCAGTGTTGATTTGGAGGCTGCTGGATTGAATTTGTTAGTTTTTCTGTCTAGTTATTGTCCAGTTATCGACTTATTGAAAGTCCTATGGGGAAAGAAAAAGTCTATAGGAAATCAGGAAAGTCTCCAGAGGTCTGTGGAAGCTGTTTGCAATAATCAATGACTATGTCATTGTAACGGTTATCAAGCTGGTAACTTAGGATTCCTTTTTTAAAAAATGTAACCCCTAACTGTCTGTCTTTCAATGTGATGATCAGAGATGATTGGGCCTAGATTGTAGATATTAATTAGATTGCCTTTTAGTTCATCTGTATTCCACCGAAGTTACATTATTAATCATAACTTGTTAATTTTGGTTTAATTATAAATGTAGTGTCCAGTTATTTGTAAAGAACAATTGAGCAATTTAGGGAGGTCATCAAATGTTTTAATTTCACTATGCTGTGAATCCAGGGTTAGCAAGTCTGATTTAGTTTGGCTTCCTATCCCTATGTCATAGCAACTATCAACATGCTGGGAGTTACCATTGACCAGAAATTGAAATGCTGAAATCTGGTCTCTATCAGAGCATCTTTCCATGTTTCTCCCTTTTCAATACTTCCCAATGCACAGCATGACCCATTGTGAGACTAACCAGTGTCAGTCACAAAGGCAGTCCCAATACAAACAGAAACAAACCAGCACAAATCACAGAGAAATAACAAAACACAGTGCAGATACTGGAAGCCAGAAATAAAAACTGAAAATTATGGAAAAAAACTAAGAAGGTCTTGCAGTATCTGTAGAAACAGAAATAACAGTCACAGAGAAATGGCAAACTGTTAAAATCACACCATTTCCCCAGCAACATAGCACAAACTAGAATCACAACAGCAGCCACCACTTCCTGATGAAGTTCACAGGGCACTCAAAACCCCAGAAATTATCATCCTTACCTGGAGCACAATCTCATTTTGATTCTGGTTCTTCTTTGATGGGAGAATTCCATAATATTCTTCTTGACGTTTCTTAAACTTACGGAAGTGTTCTTGGATTAGAAACGTGGCATAGAACTTGCCAACTGTCACCTCATCATCTGAACAGAAAATATTAGTGCTTCATTATTGCCATAGAAACAACTAGATCATATTAAAACATAAACATTTCACCAACAATAAGCCCTAGAGTCCTGGTTTCTTTATTCATTCATGGGATGTGGTTGTTACTGGCTGGGCCAGCATTTTTTGCCCATCCCTGGTTGCTCCTTGAGAAGGTGATAGTAAGCTGCACTCCAAGTGCTGTAGGTAGACCTACAAAGCTGAAAGGGAGAAAATTCCAGGATTGTGACCCAGTGAAACCGAAGGAATGAAACCAAAGGAATGGCGACATATTTCAGGATGGTGGGTGGATTGAAGAGGAACTTGCTGGTGGTGGTGTTCCCATGCATCTGCTGCCCTTGTTGGTGGGAGTGGTTATCGGTTTGGAAGGTGCTCTCTAAGGATCTTTGGTGAATTTCTGCAGTACATCTTGTAGACAGTACACACTGTTACTACTGAGCATTGGTGATGGAGGGAGTGGATACTTGAGGATGTGGCCAATCAAGCATGCTGTTTTATCTTGGATCATGTGTTGTTCGAGCTGCTCTCAACTAGGCAAGTGGGGAGTTTTCCTTTACACTCCAGACTTTATTATTTTAGAGCTGCTGAAGAGGCCCTTTGTCCGAGATTGTAATGAAGATATACGTGGAACAGAATGGGAGCAAGTAGCATGCCTTTGTGATTTCAATCCCAAAACCAGCAAATAGTCAAAGGATGTCTCATGTATGTATTCTGTACTGATATCGCTTATGCAGTCGCCATTAGTCTACTAGACAGATGCTACATGACACTACCATGTGGGTTTTCTTCCTAGCTCTGATTGGATCCCACACTGATAGCGATTAGAATAGAGGGATGAGTGTTAGTTATTCCTGTTTGGACCAAACCATTGTAGATTACAAGATCTGAAGTGTTTGTGATTTTTCTTTTTTTCTTTCAATTGTTTGTGGTTCATTGGTCAATAATTCAAAAGAAATGGTAGTCCAGTGAACAATTGCCCTCATTCCTGAATTTGAATGTTTAACTTTCTCAATTACACTGTCCTTGTGCTGTATCACATGACAATTTATGCATGAATTATGAGTGCAATCTATTAGCCTTTGTTTAAAAATCATGTTGACTACACTGCTATGCAGTGAAGGTTAAATATTAAAACGCTTGTTTTCTTCAGTCTGTTTAAATTGATATAAGCATTATCTGAATTGACTTTGTCATTCAAACAACCAAAAGATTTGGTCTATTTTATGATCTCACCACCTTTTTTAGGACTGTGAAACATTTCTGCTCCTCATTCCTGACGGTTAGTGACATTACACACAACATTAACCTGTGACATTAACCTGGGACAATTTGAAGTTTGAGAATTTTTCAAGTTCTGCAACTTTTGACCCAAGGTAGTCTTGGATTTTAATTTTCCACAGTGCAGGTGCACTTTCTTCCAACTCTCTTGTTCTAATCTACTGTCTTAATTTACTAAAGAGTACAGAAATATTTGTATCATCTGAAACCACAGGCAAGGTCCCAGACGACTGGAGGGTGGTTAATGGTGTACCTTTATTTAAGAAAGGCTGTAAGGTGAAACCTGAGAACTACAGACCTGTGAGTCTGACTTCGGTGGTGGCTAAGTTGTTGGAGCTGATTCTGAAAGATAGGATTTATAGGAATTTGGAGAGGCAAGGAATGATTAGGGATAGACAGCATGGTTTTGTGTGAGGAAAATCATGTCTCACAAACCTGATTGAGTTTTTTGAGGAAGTTACCAAAAAAGATTGAGTTCAGAGCAGTAGATATTGTTTACTTGGACATTAGTAAAGCCTTTGACAAGGTTCCACATGGTAGACTAATTAGTAAAGTTAAACCACATGGGATTCAGGGTGAGCTTGCCAAGGGATCCTAAATTGGCTTAACGGCAGGAGACACAGGGTGGTGGTGGAGGAGGATAGTTTTGCAGACTGGAGGCCTGTGACCAGCAGCGTTCTAAAGGGATTGGTACTGGGTCCACTCTTATTTGTCATTTATTATAAATGATTTGGAATGAGACAACAGGAGGCGTGATTAGCAAGTTTGCAGATGACACCAAAATTGATGGTATAGTGGTCAGTGAAGAAAGTTGTCCAAGATTACAAAGAGATCTTGATCAATTGGGTCAATGGCCTGAGGAGTGGCAGATGGAGTTTAATTTGGACAATTGCGAGATACTGCATTGTGGTAAAAAAAACAAGAGTAGGGCTTATACAATTAATGGTAGAGCCCTGGAAGTCTTGTAGAACAGAGAGAACTAGGGGTTCAGGTACATAATTCTTTGAAATTTGCGTCACAAGTAGACAGGGTTGTTAAGAAGGCGATTAGCACACTTGACTTCATTCCTCAGACCTCTGAGTATTGGAGTTGGGACGTCACGTTAAGGATGTACAGGATGTTGATGAGGCCTCTTCTGGAGTACTATGTGCAGTTCTGGTCGCCCTCTTATAAGAAGGATTAAACTGGATAGGATTCAGAAAAGATTTACCAGGATGTTGCCAGGAATAGAGCAGCACAGTGGCTCAGTGGTTAGTACTGTGGCCTGACAGCCCCAGGGACCCTGGTTTAATTCCACCCTCGGGCAACTAACTGTGTGGAGTTTGCACATTCTCTCCGTATCTGCGTGGGTTTCCTGTAGGTGCTCCAGTTTCCTCCCACAGTCCAAAGATCAGCAGGTTAGGTGGATTAACCATGCTAAATCGCCCATAAGTTTTCAATGATGTGCAGGCTAGGTAGATTAGCCATGGGAAATGCATGGAAAATCAAGGATAGGGGGATGGATCTAGATGGGATGCTGTTCAGAGAGTCAGTGTGAACTTGATGGGCCAAATGGCCTGCTTCCACACTGTAGGGTTTCTTTGGAGGGTTTGAGTTATAAAATAGGCTAGATAGGCTAAATTTTTTTTCACTGGTGTGTAGGAGTTTGAGGGGTGACCGCATAAGGGTTTATAAAATCATAAGGTCATAGATAATGTGAATAGCAAAGGTCTTTTCCCTAAGGTGAGGGAGTTCAAAACTAGGTGGCACATTTTTAAGATGACAGGAGAAAGATTTAAAAAGGACTTGAGGGGCAACTTTTTTTTTTTACACAGGGCGTGGTTCATGTGTGGAATGATCTGCCAGAGGAAGTCGTGAATGCAGGTACAGTTACAACATTTAAAAGACATCTGGATAAGTACATGAATGGGAAAGGTTTGGGCAGATATGGGCCATTACAGACAGGTGGGACTAGTTTAGTTTGGAAACATGGTCAGCATGGAGGAATTGGAACAAAGGGTCTATTTCCATGCTGTATGACTCTATGACTTGTGCCTTGTAGGTAGTGGACAGGCTTTGGGTAGTCAGGAGGTGAGTTACATGCTGCAAGGTTCCTAATTTCTGATGCATTCTTGTCACCACAATATTTATATGGTTTGTCCAGTTCAGTTTGTGGTCAATGGTAACTCCCAGGATGATGGTGGTTTACAACAGAACATGTCACAGTGAAATTGGTTCTGTGAACCAACATGTTTAACAGTCACTCGCCTCCAATTGGGGGGATCACTTGGTCCAGTAATTTCATACTCGTTCGTTTCCAGATTTTTTTGATGATGGTTCTCAGTTCTTCATTCGACTGTTCAAAATTTCCTGTTGACAAAAAGAATAAACCAGATAATTACACATTCATGCAACCATAACAACCAATCAACTAACTGTCAGTTCTGGCATATAAAACTCAGTCTGTGTAAAACTCTCATAAACCCCTCCACTGCCTCTGTATGTGTGGATCCCATGTGCTTATCTGTGTATGATACCCTGCAATGTGTGTCCAAGAATGACAGTGTACGTGTCTGTAATCTCTGCTTCCACTGTGTGTGTGTAAGAGTAAGTTTAAAAGTGAGTATGAATATGTGTGAGCACATGCAAGTGAATGTGAGACAGCAGGAGTGTGTGTGTGTGTGTGTGTGTGTGTGGGTCTGTACGAGTGAGAATGTACATGTCTGTAATCGCACTTCCACTGTGTGTTTGTGTATGAGTTAGAGAATATGTAAGTTTAAAAGTGAGTTTGTGTGTGTGAGAGTCAGTGGATGTGACAGCATGCATGACAACGCATGTGTGGCGGTGTATGTAAGTGTGATAGCTCGTGAGTCAGCTTATGTGAATATGTGTACCTGTGTGTACATTGTTGCGTGTGTGTGTGTGCGTGCGCACACGCGTGCGCTTGGGTGGTGGGAGAGAGTGTGTGTATGTGTATGTGTATGTGAGGGGTAAGAGAGATAGAGTGAGTGTGTGTGAGAGTGAGGGGGTGAAAGAGAGTGAGAGAGTGTGTGTGTGTGTGTTTGCGTGTCGGTGAGAGCAGTTAAGCATATTAAGAGTGAGCATGCGTGTCTATCTGTGTATGGTTGCATGTGTGTGAGAGAGAAAGTGTTAAAGCGAGTGCATGTGTGAGTCTAAGTGTCACCCCTGCTCCCATGGGTCAATACTTCCCAGCATTGTGCACGTTTGTTTGATGGTGGGAAAGCCATAGTCTCTGGCCTGCCTCAGCAGCACCTATCAGAGTGCTGCCCAAATTCTGATTGGACCAAGAGCAACAGGAGGAATAGGAGCACACTCATTGGCCTTAGCTCAGAGGTCGCAATGAGCAACTCTAGGTCACTTACTCCCTCAAATTCACTGAGTCTCCCTTCTAATCCACACCATGTATAACCAGCACCTCCTCCGAGGTTCTGCATTGATTTTCTTCTTTCCTGTGATGTGGCTATCACTGGCTGAATGAGCCTTTATTACCCATTCTCATTTGTCCTGCTGGCAGTCCTGGGGTGTAGAGACATTACAGGTCTACATTAACAGTTCTATTAGAAAGGGAGATCCAGGATATTCCAGCGACACTGATGGAACAGCAATACATTTTGAAGTCAGGGTGGTAAATGGCTTGGTGGGGAACTTGCAGATGATGGTGTTCCCATGTAGCTGCTGCCCTATTCTCCTCAGTGGTCGTGGACACAGATATAGAAGGTACTGTCCAAGAAGCTGTAGTGCATTTCTTCAATGCATCTTGTAGATAGTTTCACTATAACAAATGAGCATCAATGGTGAAGGAAATGAATGTGAAGGTTGTGGATGTGGTACCGTCACGGGGACTGCTTTGCACTGGATGATGTTGAGATTCTTATGTGCTGAACTCATCCAGGCAATTGGCAAGTATTCCATCACATTCTCTTACTGTCCATCTCTATTTGCCCAGAGGGCAGTTAAGAGTCAACCACATTGCTGGGGTCTGGAGTCACATGTAGACCAGAGTGGGTAGGGATGGCAGTTTCCTTCCTTAAAGGGCATTAGTGAACCAGATGGGTTTTTCTGATAATCGACATGGTCATCATTCAACATTTAAATTCCAGATTTGCACGGAATTCAAATTCACCATCTGCTATTGTGGGATTTCTACCTGGATCCCCTGAACATCACCTGGGTCTCTGGATTAGTAGTCTAGTGATAATACCATTAGGCCATGCCTCCTCCTCAAGTGTCAAATCTAGTGTCCTGTCATTTTTATTGATGATCTGGCCTGCACCATCATTGAGGATGGGGACCTTCATCAAGCTTCCTCCTCTGGCTAGTGATTTAATGATTCCATTCACAACTGGAAATGGCAGGACTGCAGAACTTTGGTCTGGACCATTAATTGGTTTAATCTCCCTGGTTTGACAGTAATGATAGAGTGGAGGAAATGCTGGGCCATGAGATTACAGATTGTGGTTAAATTCAATTCTGATGGCCCACAGTCTCGCAGTCTTGAGTTGCTAGATCTGTTCTTTAGCACAGTGGGAAAGTGAGCGTATTCTCAATGTGAAGACAGGACATAATTTCCATAAAGGACTGTGTGGAGATCATTTCTATCAAAACTATTGTAACAGATCTATGAGGATAAGGGTAAAATAGATTCTTCCTTTATTTTAGTCCCCTCACCACCTGCTGCAGGACCAGTCCAGCAGCTATGTCCTCTAGGATTTGACCTACTCAGTCAACAGTGGTACTGCCAAGCAACGCCTGGGGGTGATGGACATTGAAGTCCTACACCCAGAGTACAGTCTGCACCCTTGCCACCCTCAATGCTTCCTCCAAGTCATGTTCAACATGGAGTATTCATCAACCAAGGGAGGGGAGTACATGATAATCTGCAGGAGGCTTCTTTATCTATGCTTGAGCTGATGTCATGAGACTTCAAAGGATTTGGAGACAATGTTGTGGCCTCCCAGGGCAATTCCCTCCCCATTGTATACCACTGAGCCACCAGCTCTGCTAGGTCTGTCCAGTTGGTGGAACAGGACATGCCCAGGGATGGTGATGTGATGTCGAGGACTTTGTCTGTAAAGTATGATTCCATGAGTATGACTATGTTAGGCTGTTGCTTAGCTGGTCTATGAGACAGCTTTCCCAGTTTTGGCACAAATCTCCTGATCTTAGTGAGGAGGACTTTACAGGGTCGACGAGACTGTGTCTGTCATTTCCAGTATTGAGCTCGGTGCAAGATGGTCCATCTGGTATTATTTCAGTCAAGAGTTCCACAGTAGTTTTGATACAAGTGAGTGTCTTGTTCAGCCATTGCACAGGATCGTTAAGGTCAGCACATTGCTGTGCTGTGGAGGTGCTGGTGTTGGACTGGGATGGGACATGGTCAAAGGTCACACGATACCAGGTTATAGTCCAACCAGTTTAGTTGAAATCACAAGCCTTCATAACGCTGCCCCTTCATCAGGTGAAGTGGAGAGAGCACCCGGGTACAGACTTTATAATCAGAGAGATCAAAATATCATACAAACGGTGTGAGTGACGTGTTGACAGGCCAAATAATAGATCTCTGCAGGTGATCATGATGTCAAATGGTCTGAGTAAGTTGTGGCTCAGCTGTCATGAGGTGGCCAGACCAGCTTATTTCCTTCCCTAAAGGACAGCAGAGAACCACATGGGTTTTTACCACAATCATTTCATAGTCACCATCATTGAGACTAGACTAACTTGTTTTAATCCAGATGAATGTAAACTCTCCTAGATATTCTGGTGAGATTTCAACCCCTATTTCTGGATCATGAGCCCAAGTGTCTACTAAGAGTACCGCTATGCCTGTGTGTTCTTGATGTAAGCTTTGCTGTTTCTAGTCCTGATATTGTGGAGTCACAGCCCTTATCACCAGCCCACACTCTGCAGGGCGAAGCAATCTTCTAAACAGCCTTGCTTCACCTTTAACTGCCTTCGCCTGTTTTCAGCCAAGGGACGTTCACTATCAGCACCAGTTCTCCTACCTTCGGTTTTAATTTTGAGGGCCGTTCGTACCAGTGCAAAGAGTGTGGCGTTGAAGGTGACTGTGCCATCACTGTTCATGGGCATGTTCATTGACACCAGCCGCTGGGAAAGATACAGAGAATGGAGAGGTCAGCATCAGTAGGGTCAGTAAAGTACAACTTAGAAAAACACATTCACAAACTGGGACTGGAGCTCAGAAAAAGTGCATCAGCTGTTAAAGACTTGTTATTAGACTTCTGAACGGATCTCTCAAATTTTAAATTTAATATTGATGTCATTTTTGTACACCTTCTCCGCAGCTATAACACTGTGTTCCTCGCTCTGTTCTATTACCCTAATGCACTTTGTATGGCATGATCTGCCTCTACTGCACACAAAACTAAACTTTTCACTGTACCTAGGTACAAGTGACAACAAGAAATCAAATTTAAAAAGCTACTCAGGTGGACGTGAAAACTCCCACAGCAGCATGAGAAGAGGAGGGAAGGGAAGGCATGCATGCTTAGTGGGCACTAAGTGGGCAAGAGCTAAGGGAGCAAGCAAACGGCTTTGAGATACAGCTTGGACCAATCCATGAGCTGGGGCCCTGTGCCTCAGCAAAAAGTGTCCTTGCTGCAGTCTTTCAATGCTTGCTGCTGGCGTGCCTTGCAATGCAAGCCTGGGCTTCCAGAGGGCACTGCCAGTGCACTGGGGAGGTGCCAGGATAGTGAGAAGGGATAGCTCGATGCAACATGCCAATGTCCAGGGAGGAAGGGTGGCTAGTGTCAATGGATCATATGTAATTGAGTTCAAAGGGTATAGGGTCCCAGAGGTGTCCTGTCTTACATCTCTTGTATATAGTTAATAAAGGTTTGTTGGTGTTTACTGACACGGGTGAGAACTACTTTATATCAACAACCCAAATCTAATCCTATGACAGGCTACAGAGCAGGAGGACAACTGGAGGACTTTTGAGCCTGAAGCTGAAAACAATTCCGATCTATCCATCCACGACCCCAGTCTCCTGTACAGGGGTATATTGGAGCTCTACATGTACCAGGCATTTGGCAGCACATGTGGGTTCAGGAGAAGTAGAGACTGCAGTTTTAGAGATGGATTTCTCTGATAGGGAAAGAATGCGATCTTCTTTTTCACAAATCATTCGTTCCTGGGTATTCAATAACTCGACAGAACCTTAATCTCCCTTAAGCTTTTTCTGGGAAATTATGCCTCTCCCATTGTATAAATATCATATACCATTTCAAGAGTACTTTTGATAGTTGAGGACCTGAAATCAGACTGGTGCAAACTAATGACATTTATTAACTACTTAAACTATTTCGAGACATGATTCAGCAAGACTTCATTAGAACCATCTTCCCTCAGATCCCAGCTCCATGAGAGAATTTCTCAGAGAAGAATGTGCTGTCAATTTGGATATTCTCTTCTCCTGGCCCAGTGTGTGGATAGGATTTTGGACAGAGAGTGCGTGTGTGTGTGCGTGCATGTGCATGTGCACCCATCTCACACAGTCACTCACAAACAAACATCCACACACACAATCACTTTCCCCAGAGTTTCTCTACATTCACTCAGGCCTACTCTAGCCCGTTCCTGTGCTCTGGAAACTGAGCTTTGATGGGAGCTGTTTATCCTCCTACTGCATGCTGCTCTCCCAATCACAGGCTGCTTTCTCCTCATGTTTTCTGTTGCAGGTATAGGTGAGACTGGGCAAGCAACTCAATACCATTTTTCAAAACTCCATTTTCCTGTTGTTCTTCGTCTCTTGTGCAAGGTCTGGAGGGCCACAGAAACATCAAAATGTAGGAGCAGCAATAAAGTCTAACATTCCATTAGTCTTCCTAATAGCTCGCTGCACCTGCATGTTAGCTCTCAGTAAGTTATTGACAAGGACATCTAGGTCCCTTCCAACTCCTTATCATTTAAAAAATATTTTGCCCATCTGTTCTTTCTACCAAGTGGATAACTTCATATTTTTCCACATTATGTTTCATTTTTCATATTCCAGACAATCCTCCTGAAGCCAATTCATATTTTGTATCATCCGCAAATTCAGAAATACTAAAATAGGTCCCCACATCTAAGTCATTAAGATATATATTGTGAGCTGCTGAGGCCCAAGTACAGATCCTTGTGGTATCCCGTTAGTCACATCCTGCCGATGTAAGAATAATTGTTTTATTCCTAATCTCTGTTTTCTGTCTATCAGCCAATCCTCAATCAATGCCTGTGCATTACCTCCTATTCCATGTGCTTTAAGTTGCCCACCAACCACCTCTGGGAGACATAATCAAAGTGATTCTGAAAATCCAAATATACTACATTAATTTTGTAAGTAACATCTTCAAAAATCTCCAACAAGTCTGTCAGATAATAGTTTTTCATTCACAAATCAATGCCAACTTTGCCCAATCAGATTATTTTTATTTAAGAGTTTATTTATCACATCCTTTTTCCCTAACACTGTTGTAAGATTGACAGGTCTGTAATTTCCTATTGTTTTTTCCTTGCTGCTTTCTTAAATGACAGGGTCACATTTGCTAACTTCCAATCTACAGGAATCACTCCAGACTCACTAGAATTTTGGGAGATAATTACCAATGCATTGACTATCTCTATAGCCACCTCTTCCACACTCTGGGATGTAGCATATCTGGTCTCGGGGACCTATCAGCTTTCAACTCCATTCATTTCTCCACGAGAACCTCCTTACAAATATTAATTTCATTCAACTCGTCATTCTCTCTAGTCTCTTGGATCTATTCATTCTGGGAGATTTCTTGTATCTTCCTCAGTGAAAACACAAATTAATCAACTGGCTTCTCTATAATGGGGAATAGAGAAAAGATGAAGACCCCATATCAGTCTTTGCTAAATGTTTCTTTTTATGTACCTTTGGAAGCTTTTACAGTTTGTTTTTATTTGCTAGAATACATTCATAGTCCAATCTCCCTTTCTAATCAGTTTCTTGATCCTCCTTTGTTGAACACTAAAAACTTCCCAATCCTCAGACTGACTGCTATTTCTGGCAATTTGCTTGGCCTTTTCTTTTAATCCTATATAATCTTGATCTTTCTTTTTTAGCCACAGATGATTGACCTTTTTGAATTTTTTTCATCTTGGATAAATGTACAGTTGCTGTAAGTGCTATGTTAGTTCTTAGAATCCCTACAGTGTGGAACCAGGCCCTTCGGCCCAACAAGTCCACACTGACCCTCAGAGCAACCAACCCAGACCCATCCCCCCATAACCCACCTAATCTACACATCCCTGAACACTAGGGGCAATTTAGCATGGCCAATCCACCTAGCCTGCACATCTTTGGACTGTGGGAGGAAACCAGAGCACCAGGAGGAAACCCACGCAGACACTGGGAGAATGTGCAAACTCCACGCAGACAGCGGCCCGAGGGTGGAATCGAACCCGGGTCCCTGGCGCTGTGAGGCAGCAGTGCTAACCACTGAGCCACTGTGCCGCCTTTTAAAGACTATCCATTGCTCATGAACAGCCTTTTCATGTATTTTCCACATCTGCCTCAGCCAATTTGAGCCTCATGTCTTCACAATTTCCCTTATCTAAATTTAAGACCTAGTTTAAGATTCAATTACTTTGTTTTTAAACACAAGATAAAATGTTGTCATATTGTGTGGTTACTCATCCCTAAACGTTCTTTTACAACAACATTGTTAATTAGTCCTTTTTCATTACATAGTACTAGATCTAAAATAACACGCCCTCTAGTCAGCTTCTCAAAATACCAATCTAGAAAACTATCTCTAACCCACTGCAGAGAATTCAGGGTGAGAATTCAGCATGTTTCTGTAAGAGTGAAGGGAAAGGTAGCAAGTCCAGGGAACCCTGGATGTCAAGGGCCATCAAGGTTTTGATAAAGAAAAAGAAGGAAGCATATGTCAGGTACTGTACATTTAAAAAAAGGAAGCCCTTCAGAAGTATAGAGAGTGTAGGGGCTTGCTTATAAAGGAAAGTAGGAGGGCAACGAGGCCGTGTGCTATCTTTGGCAGACAGGATCAAGGAAAATCCCTAAGCTTTTTACAAGTATACTAACAGTCAGAGGATTATCAGGGAAAGAGTAGGACCTATTAGAGAGCAAAGGGGCAACCTGTGCATGGAGCCAATGGGTGTGGATGAAGTCTTAAATGAATACTTCTCATCTGTATTCACAAAGACATTGCAGCCAGAGATTTAGTTGGGATGGTGAGGTTGTAGAACATGTTAAGATTTAATGAGGAGGACGTATTAGATGTTTTGGAGGGTATAAAGATGCATAAATCCCCAGGGCCTGATGAGATGTATCCCAGGCTGCTATGAGAGGCAAGTGAGGAGATTGCTGGGACCCTGGGGTCATTTAATACTTAGAGATATTTAATACTTCACTGTGGCCTCATTGGTCACAGGTCAAGTGCCAGATGACTGGAGGATAGCTAAAATGGTTTGTTCAAGAAGGGCAGCAGGGAAAGGCCAGGTAATTCCAAACCAGTTAGTCTGACATCAGTGGTAGGAAAATAATTGGAAAAAAGTTCTGAAGGGCAGGATTAATCAGTACTTGGAAAGGCAGGACTTGATCAGGAATAGTTAGCATGACTGACAAATTGAGTTTCTGAAAAGGTGACAAAATATGTTGATGAGGTTAGTGCAATTGGTGTGCTTTACATGGACTTCAGTAAGGCTTGTGCCAAGGTTCTACATGGAAGGCTGTTCCAAAAGGTAAGAGCCCATGGAATCCAAGGCAAGTTGGCAAACTAGATCCAACATTGGCTTGGAAATAGGAGGCAAAGGGTGATGGTGGAGGGTTGTTTTTGTGATTGGAAGCCTTTGAATGACTTGGATGTGAAAATAGAAGGTTTAATTAGTAAGTTTGTAGATGACAAGAAAACTGGAGGTGTTCTTGATACCAAGCAGGGTGGTCTCATGCTACAGACTGACATTGATCAGCTAGTAAATTGGGCACAGCAATGGCAAATGGAATTTAATCCTGATAAATGTGAGGTGGTGCATTTTGGGAGGTCTAATAAGGGAAAGATGTTTACAATGAATGGTAGGTCCCTAGGGAGTACTGAGGAACGAAGAGACCTTGGTGTACAAGTCCATAGATCTCTGAAGGTGTCAGCACAGGCAGACAGCGTGGTGAAGGAGGCATAAAGGATGCTTGCCTTCATTAGCTGTTCATAGAATATAGGAGCAAGAAAGTCTTGTTTCAACTTTATAAAATGGTGGTTAGGCCACAGATGGATTACTGTGTGCAGTTCTGGTCACCATAATAGGAAGGATATGCCATGATTGCAGTGGAGAGAGTGCTGTGGAGATTCATCAGGATCTTGCCTGGGATGGCAAGTCTCAGTTATGAGATTGACTGGATTTGCTTTCCTTGGGGCAGAGGAGGCTGAGGGTGGAATCTGAATGAGGTATAGAAAATTATGAGAGGCACAGACAAAGTAGATCTTCAGAACCTCTCCCCCATGGCAGATGTGTATAAGATCAGACGGCATAAGTTTAAGGTGAGGAGTGGTTTAGGAGGAGATCTGAGAAATAAAGTTTTCACCCAGAGGGTGGTAGAAACATGGAACGTACTGCCTGAGGGGGTAGTGGAGGGAGGTACTCTCATTTGAGAAGCATCTGGATGAGTACTTAAAATGGCAGGGCATAGTAGTCTATGGACCAAGTGCAGGTAAACAGGGTTAGTGTAGTTTGGTGTTTGTTGGTCAACATTGATGTGGTGGGCCAAAGGGTCTGTTTCAGTGCTGTATGGCTCTATGAGAAACTCATTGAGTTTCTCCACAGCTTTAGTGCTCAATTGCTTTTCCCAGTCCATAAGTAGATTGAAGTCACCCAATGATAACTATGTTGTCCATGCTATGTATTTCTCTTCTCATCTCACACTACCACTAATACTTGGTGGCCCATAAATAATTCCAACCATTATCTGCTGGCCCTTGTTGTTTCTTAGCTCCACCCAGATTGCATCCATTGTTCTTCTGATCTGAGATCCTTCCTTATTAATGTACTGATACCATCTCTTATTATCAGTGCAGGTCCACCTGCATTTCTTTCTTGTCTGTCCTTCCTAAATGTTCAATGTGCTCAGATAGAGTTCTCAGCCCTGGTCACCTTGCAACCATGTTTCTGTAGCGGCACTTATTTTAAAAAATTTCTCAATCAAACGATCTCAAGAGGGTATGAGGCTGGAGAATGGGGTGCAGGTAGGGAGGGAGAACACTGAAGGTAAGTAAAAAGGTCCATTAGCAAGGGAAGACTACTGGTCGAGGAAGTGAGCACACAGGCAAAGGAGCAAAGGAGCTCAGCATCATGCTGAGGCTGAAATTCACAAAAGCGTGAGTGTAGGGATATGAAGGGGGGAAATTAGAAAAAGGGATGGCATCAGAGGGGAGGACAGGTAGGTTCCAGAAGGGGCACAAGTTACTTATGATACCCATGTGTTGGTGAATCTTGAGATACTTCAAATGTGAAAGAAGATAAAAAGTTGATTGTTTAAGCATCGAATGAGGTGAAGGATGGTGAACCTGTGGGAGGATAGCTGTGAGACAGGGTGATTTGGTGCTACTTAAGGAAGTGATTAATAGTGACGGTTCATCTGAGGAAACAGCGAGGACAGTAATTCAAGAATGTTGAATGTCCTGGATATATCTATAATCGTGGGTGAATGTGAAATACAATAGATGGAATTTCAGTTGGAATCTATATGGAATAGGATGGAGCTAGAGAGTGTTGTTCAGGAAGGAGCTATGGCTGTGGACATGGGTTTTTGTTGACATCAGATCAAACACGAGAAGAAAATGACAAAGCAATGAAGACATACAAAATAAAGGGTAGTGAATTAAATATTACCATAAAAGTTGGAAATCTGAAATCAAAGCAGTAAACATAGAAAATACTCAGTGGATCACACGGCAACTGTGATGAGAGGAAAACAGTGTCTCCACAATACCTTGATTTGAACATCCAACATTAATCAACAACCCTGAAATGGTACTTCTGGATTTTCAGACATTCATGTTAATGCTTCCAAACTTAGAAGGAGCTGCTAATTGAACTACACACGGCTGCAGTCTCTGGGCAATGATTCACCAGCCAGCAAACCAATCACGTGCTGACTGAACAAAAGGAGCTCAGTCTGGTTGAATCTTACCTTACAGGCCACACGGTGGGGGCAGAATTTGCCAAAGCCCAGAGGAGGCTGGATGCGACGGAGCAATGTTACCACATCCAGGTGTTTGATCCGGCCCCTGTGGAGAATAATCAAGAAAACCACCAAATGAGCATTTGCCTGACTGGGTGTGTCTGTGTCTGTAAGAAAGCATGTATCTGTGAGTGTGGTGCGTGTTTGCATGTGTGTGTGGCTGCATGGTGTATGTGTAAGAGCGTGCTGTGTGGCTGTGAATGATGCATGTTTGAGTGTGGTGTGTGTGAGTTAGTGAGTGTGCATATGTATGTCTGCGTGCATCTGAGAGTAATGGTGTATGCCTAGGAGTGTGGGTGTCTGAGAATGTGGTGTGCATCTAAGGATGCGTGTATGTGTCTGTTTGTGTCTGAGAGTGTGGCGTGCGCATGTGAGTGTGTGTGTGTGTGTGAGAGAGAGAGATTGTGTATGAGAATGTGTGTGTGCGTATGACTGTTTGTACACGTGTCTTTGAGCATGTATCTATGATGGTGACAAGGATTTGTTTCTGAGAATATATATGTGGTGTCTGTCAGCACATTTATAAGTGATTCTGCCTGTGAGTGTCTGAGTGTGTTTACAACAAACTTACTTGGCCTCAGGATCATACTCAGCCCAGATCCTCTTAAACTCATCCAGGTGGTGAGGGCCCAGAATGGACCAATCACGTGTCAGGTAATCAAAGTTGTCCATAATTACAGCCACAAACAGGTTAATAATCTGTGAAAGGATAACAGTACTTAATATAAGGTGCAGTGTCTGACATATAATGCAGTGTATAGCGTATGGCACAATGTGTAATGTACAACAAGGTGTCTAATGTTTGGCACACTGTCGAATGGATAATGCAGGCACAGGCAACTCATGTATGGGACTGAGTCCTCTCTGATTGAGTGAATACACTGGCAGCCCTACACCATGAATCCTGCACGGGTTACCCTACACCAGGAACGAAGCTATACAGAGATCCTTCATTTACGAGACCTACACTCAGGACTCACACTGGGAACCTACACAGGGAATATTGCACCAGGAACCCTGCACTGGGAAAGCTATGATGGGAACCTTACACTAGGAACACTGTACTGTGAACCCTGCACCAGGAGCCTATACAGGGAAACTCAGACCAGGAACCTACACCAGGAACACCAAACTGTGAACTCTACACTAGGAGCCTACACTGGGAATGTCAAAGCAGGAACGTACACCAGGAACCCTACAATGGGAACTCATATTGAGATCCCTAAATAGGAATCTACACTGGGAATCTCAGACCAGGAACATACACCAGAAGGAACATGCAGTGAAAGTCCTACACCGGGACCGTAAAGAAGGAATATTACCAGGAATCCAACATCGGGATCCCTACATCATGAGATCCAAACTGGGATCACTACACCACAAGACCTACACTGGGAACATACATAGGTAACTCTACAGAGAGATCATTATACCAGGAACCGTGCACTGGGAATCCTACACAGGAAACCTTACACCAGGAACCCTACACAGGGAATGTTACAGTGGGAACCCACTAGCAGGAACCTTACGCCAGCAATCTACATTGGAATCTACTCTGTACATATCCAGATTCCAATTCTATATGACCTGGTGTCATTAGGACATAGCACATGCTCAATAGCTACTGCTAGTAGTTAACCCTTTAGTCCACAGACTGTGGTGGTTTGAGAAAGTAGCTCACTACCAACCTTCTCAGAACAGTCTGGGATGGACAATGAACGTAGTCAACCTGAGAACAAATTTTTAAGATAGCTATTCACCCAACCAGTCTAGGGTCACACTTAACATCAAGAGCTAATAATCATGAGCCCATCTGTTTCCATCTTCCTACAGACGTTTTCTGTCATTTATTTGAAAGCATGCCTCACAGTTCTCTGAGTGAAGATGTATCTCCTACCCTGGTATAACTTGTTTCTTTCCTTTGACCTTATATCTAACCCCCAGATGAGATTTTCACCCTGACCTGTACACGTTGGTGAGGGGGCTCCTGGCCAATTCTCACTTACCAAGAAAGCACAGAGCATGTAAAAACTGATGAAGTAGAAAACAGCAAAGTTGGTTCCACAGGTGTACTCTTCGCCAGGTTCGTAGTCAGATTCAGGGTCACAGAGTTTACCAGGTCGGCAGGCCAGCATAATCTCCTGCCAGGCTTCACCTGTAGCACATCTAGAGACAGCGACAACACAGTCAGCCACTGCAGGGGGCACTGCGGGGTGGGGGTGGGGGGGTACTCGGGCTCAGGGTGAAAGGTCAGGTTTGCAGTGAGAGGTCAAGTGGGAGGGAGCAGGCAGCCAGGAGACTGGGTTAGTCACAGGACTAGTCACAGGGCGAGCTGGCAATCGGGGGCAATGGAGTAGTCCATCAGGGGGCAGCAGGCCAGTCAGTCAGGGGGCGAGGGGTCAGTAAGTTGGGGGTGAAGGGGGCAGTTGGTCAGGGGGTGAGGGGTCAGTAAGTTAGGGGTGAAGGGGGCAGTTGGTCAGGGGGCAAGGCGTCACTCACCTGAATAGCAGGAGCACAGCTTGTGGGAACGTCTGGAAGTTGTTATTGCGATTGATTTGTGCTCCATCCACATTGGCAATCTTACCAAAGACCTGATCAACAAGAGAAGATGGCAGGGGTGAGACAGATGTCTCTACAGAATCTCCGAGAAAGGGTTTGCTTTCAAGATTACGGTGCATTGAGGTTTATGGACATCTTTGTACAGTTCTCACTTACTTGTGGAAATCACATATGTTAGAGGGTTAATGAGCATCTCACTCAGCTGGATGTGGAGTTAATGGAGCCTGGTCTTACCTGCATCCCAATGACAGCGTAGATAAAGAACAGCATCACAATGAGCAGAGCCACATAGGGCAGAGCCTGTCAGTAAACAAAAAAACAAGACTCAATACTCCTTTATAGAATTTGAGTATTGCTGTAAAGGCCCCTAATCAAAGTTTATTGTAAGAGATTTTTGACAAAGTTTTTGACACAAATATTTGACAAAATGTGTCCTTTTTCAGCAGAAGTCAGATCATGAAGCCCCGTGGCCTGAGGCATGTATCTACTAGATGGTGAGAAGGCTGATGCTGATATTGGTGCTGACACAGCTCCCAAATGTCCACTAGAACAGATCCTATTCCCACATCAGGGTCTCCACCCTTTTAGGTCACAGCCAGCCTCGCCAATAAACTTGTCACTGTTTTGATCAGGAAGAGGCGTAGATGAACAAACAGGAGTAGATCTTTCAGCCCCTTTCGCATATGCTACCGTTCAGTAATACTGCAGTTGATCTGAGCCATGGTTGACACACACTGGACTCAAAATTTTAACTGCTGTGTTCTCTACAGATGCTGCCAGACCTCCCGAGTTTCTGTTTCAGATTTCCAGCATCTGCAGTTTTTGTTTTATTTCTCTACTTTTCTATTCAATCCTCCTCGTGTTAAATGATAACATTGTTTTAGCTTTCCAATTTTTGTTAATTGCAGGCTAACCATTTGTAATTCATGCACTAGGACACCAAGACCCCTCTGTATCTCAGAGCTCTGCAATCTCTCACCATTTGGACAAGTTGCTCTCAGATCTCACAGAGCTGCTGATTATTACATGCCTTTAACTGTTTCCTTTCTTTCCTGCTCCAGCTTGTCGCTGGCTCTTTACTGAATTGATTGGCTGTTTGCAGTCCAGTCTGTGAATTAGCTAACATGGCTGTGCTCTTATACCTGGAAGGACTTGATGAACGTCCACAGCAATGTTCGAACCCCCTCTCCTCTGCTCAACAATTTGACCAGGCGCATCACACGAAATAGACGAAAGAAGGAGATGGAGATACGGGAGCTATCCTCTGACTCCTGAGAAATCACCAAGAGAACACAGGTTACAAAAAAGGAAAGAGCACGCTGTGTACAAACTGCATGGGGAGAGTTAAAGGGCAAACAGGAGACTAGGGCTGGGAGTTTGGAGGCATTGATAGGGACAGTGAGATGAGGTTCAAAAAAAACCAGGGATATAGGCAGTTCGGGACAGGGTGAGAATGAGGATGGGATGTGGAGAATTTGAAGGTTTGGGTAGCCAGTGAGGCTAAGGGAAATGGGAGACTGAGGGAGGGAGATTGGAGAAACCTTACATAACCACAAGAAATCTCAAAGTGCTTTCCCACAACAATAACTTGCATAAAATAATGTCAATGCGTATCTCAAGGTACTTCACAGGAACATTATTAAACAAAATTTCACATGTGGCCACATAAAAAACGAGGGAGTGGGATGAGGGTTAGGGAAAAATGATGAATGCTCAGGAGAGGCTATGTGTTTTAGGGAACTGGGTGAAGGCTTGAGGGAAGCAGTGACGGTTTCAGGTCTTAGGAGAGGCTGCAAGGAGTCAAGAACGAGGTGAAGTCTTATGGCTCGGGCAGACAGGAAGCCCTGGGGAGTGGGCAGTAAACAATCTCGCCACTCTGCTATATACTAATATTGGCACTGGCTTAAGGGCACTCACCAACAATGCCACAAGTGGGAGAAAACCCAGCATGCTTCAGTGTCAGCAAAAGGCACAGGCACAACTGCTCCTGGTGTGTGCCTGAATGCCAGGAATTAACATGATACCTAATCAACAAGAGAGGGAAACCAAGAGATTCTAGACCAGTTAACTCAGCACTTACTAACTTTAAAGGAGTCTTTTGCTCGGGTAAGTCAGTAAGTGAAGTGACTATAGTCCCAGAGGACCATAAGGCTGCTCTCTCATTGGAGAGAGATGACTGGTGCTGAGTTTAACCTGAAGGTCACCATGTCTCAGGTGAGGGAGAGAAGGCAGGACCTTCGTGATGACCTCAGATGGGATGTGAATCAAACCCACGTTGTTCGCATCACTCTGCATTACAAACCAGCCATCCAACCAGTTGAGCTAACCAGCATATGTTAGCCACTGATATCCATGACAAATCCACTGACTCACACAGTTACTTTGACTGTGCATCCTAACACCCTGCTTCCTGCAAGGACTCCATTCCATCTTCCCAACCTTTGTCGCATGTGTCCTGCTGATCCACCTTCCACCAGACTGCCTCCGATACCCTCCTTTTTCCTCAGCTGAGGACTCCCTCAGTGTGGTTGCTCAACCATGTCCAACCCATCTCCTACATTTCTGCCCACACCCCGTCCCCTCCCTCTCAGAACGACAATTGTGTTCTCCTTGTGCTCACTTTGCATTCCACCAGTCTCTGCATTCGAAGGATCATCCTCCACTATTTCTGCCCCCAGCAGGATACATCAACAAACGCTTCCTTCCTTCCCCTGTCATCATTCCATTCCATCTGGGACACTATGGTCCACTCCACAATCACCCCTAAAACTGTACGGCCCTCCCACAGCACCTTCGTATCCGCTCACAGAATCTCCTCACCTTCCAAGGCCCAGGTGGAGCACTGTTTCACTTGTACTTTTTTTCAATCTGGTCGACTGCATTCACTGCTCACAGTGTGGTCTTCTTTACATTGGCAAGAGCAAACGGAGCCTGGGTGACTGCTCTGTGGTACACCTCCACCCTATCTATGGGAATGACCCTGACCTCCCAGTTGCTTGCCATTTCAATAAACTATCGCACTCCCAGGCTAATATTTCCATCCTGAGCCTGCTACAGCATTCCAACAAAGTTCTATGCAAGCTGGAGGAACAACACCTAGTTTTCCATTTTGCCAATTTACAGTCTCCATGTCTAAACAATGAACTCCATAACTTCACAGCATGACCTCTGTCCTCCATTTTGATGACAAAATAACTCCATAGAGGCCGGTATTCTGTCACCAAGTCACCCTTTATTTACACATGCACAGTCCTTGACACTGGTCTAGCTCCCTCAGAGCCATCTCTCAGAGTGAGCAGAACTTCCAACACTCCTGTTTATATCTGTCAGCCAGGACTCCCTGATTGGTCCAGAATAACAGCCCCAATCAGGGAACTCATATTCTGTGAGTCCAGCTGGCTCACCTCATCACAACAACAGGTGACACTGCCTCTATCCCTCACATGTCAGTCTTTTTATATTTGCTTTCAGCAGAGCTGAAATACCTACCATTAACACCTACTCTAACAATAACTATGGAGCTCTCTACAACCATTACCACTCCCATTACCTTTTGCTCTCTCACCAGTAAGCTTAGATCAAAAGTCTTGGATCAGTAAGCTTCATATGGTCAGGAGGGAGAGATCACATCCGGACTGAGACACAGCCTGAGTGAGTTTTGGGGAATTTGGAGGCAGCATGGGAATTTGGTGCAGAGCGGAAGAGGTGGTTTTTGCTTCCTTTTCTTTAGCTCATAGTTTTAAAGTTTTTTTTAAACAGTTTAGCACAAAACAAAGTGACATCACAGGAAAACCATACGTTCATTGGTCGGTAATAGCTACTAATTTGACTATCTATTATAAATTACATTCGGATTAAAGGTAAACAGGAGAAATATTTACAGATTACAAACTAATCCAGTTTCTTCCCACAGTCCAAAGATGTCCAGGTGAGGCGGATTGGCCATGTTAAATTGCCCCATAGTGTCCAGGGATGTACAGTATAGGTAAATTAGCCATGGGAAATACAGGATAGAGTAGGGGTCTGGGTCTGGATGGGGTGCTCTTTGGAGGGCTGGTGTGGACCTGATGGGCCAAATGGCCTCTTTCTGCACAGTAGGGACTCCATGATTCTTCATCAGGGAGGGTTGGGGAAAGTTACCTAGATGCTGTATTTCATGAGGCAGTCACACCCAGGAGGCTGGATCAAAATCCTGGAATTCCCTCCCTAACGGCATTATGGGTCAACCCACTGCAGCTATTCGAGGTGGTAGCTCACCACCACCTTCTCACAGGGGACAGGCAATAAATGCTGGCTCAGCCAGCGACATCCACATCCCACAAAATAAATTTTAAGAACACCCCTTATATTAAGTACAGTAAACTTTGTTTTATCAAGCATCTTATGATTCAGCACTCACGATAACCAGCAAAAATTATATACCTCAAATTCCAAAAGTTTACTGTCGAATCGCAATCTCTACAATGTCCGAGTAGTTAGTTCAGGGTGTCAGTGAGAAAGCTCTCTGCTGGTAAGTTTCAACTTAGGCAAATGTGAATATTCCTTACCATCTAACATTCCCCTGACCGTCCCCTCTCTTTCACTGGCTCCACACCACCCTTCTCTACAGTTTAAAGTCCATCACTTTTCTATTTCTCTCTTCAGTTCTGAAGGAGCGTCATTATCAGACTCAAAAAAAAACTGTTTCTCTCTTCAGAGATGCCACCAGATCTGCTATGTTTCTACAACACTTCCTGTTTTTATTTCAGGTTTCCACCATCTGCTTGATTTTACTCTATTTGTGATTCAATGTTCACTTTCATCATTATGCTTCCATCAACTGCATTTGAAAGTGTTTGTCATTGAGGGGAGAAGTGGTTCCCACTTCAGTAACAGCGATGCAATTATAAAGTTGGGGAACCAAAACTCATGCAGCTGGTAACCTGGGGGCAGGGGAGCAAAAGGAAGGGGAGGGACATGATGGGATGGAGCAAGGAGAGTTAGTGTGTGAGGTACGAGAGGGACCACAGGAAAGGCCCAGTTAGTGGGCTCACAGGCCATGTTAATGAGTGACTGAAGAAGCGAGTTCTTCTGCCGTTATTCCTACACCAAACAGAGCTGGGGTTTAACGTCAGTAAGTGTTTAATTGACTGTCATCACACCTATTTCCATCCACACTGAGTTGGTTAGGGCTGCACTGCTCAAAGAAGCAAAGTGGGGAAGTTAGGTACAACACAGGCATGTCGAAAGTTCAGGATCGGATATTCTTGATCCCAATACCTTTCCCAGACTATCACAGTGCAATGGCCAGGTAGGAATTGGGGCAGGATTTAACGGTGGAGTAGGTTTGTGCCGGGTCTGAACACAAACCCACCTAGCTGTATATTCATATTCACAATCCAGCCCTCCCATATTGACTGCTTGGCCCCTCAACCAGGACAAGTACTCACAAGGAATGGGATCATCATGATGTTCTACCCCTCTGTGTGAACTACTAATGAAGAAATATTACTGTGAATACATCTAGCTCCCAGACTTCATGATGCTCACATTTTTAAGTACCTCTTTGCCAATTTGTATTTAATGCCAGGTTTCTTATTATTAGGCCAAGTCAGAGAGCCGATAAATGCAGGACTCAGTCTCTGTTACAGCTTTCTATCGATCATTAACACCATTAAGATGCTTTGAACATCAGAAAGAAAAACAATGGGCTGAATCTTACATTTCACTCACTAAATCTGAGTTATATTGACATTTTGGAGGGATTTCTATATCTTACCAAATGTGCCACATTAACTAACTAGCACACCCTATAGTATCCCTCACATCCAATTCTAGCCTCATGTTACCACACACCATTCCTTGATCAACTCACCACTCAGCAGGTATCCCAGGATCACCAGGACCTCTTGTGCTTGCGCCATCTTTAGAATGTGGACCCAAGACAGGTCCTGTCAGTCTGCCGCTGCCCAGCCTGTGCCTGCAGACATTTGCCCCAGACATAGCAGATAGGGGGAAATGTGGAACTCCTGCTGTATGGGGCAGTGAATAGGCGGGTGCTCTTCTTCTTCCAGGACCAGCAGTGCAGGCCACCAGACCATGCCAGCTTGGTCCATGGTTGCCACCCAATTAAAGCACTCTGGAGGAATGTAGGATCTCGGAAGAAAGTCAATGACCTTCTTCACTTCACCATTTCTCCACTCTGCCAACACCTCATACTCATTCCATCTCTGCTACTGCACCCACCGCCCACTAAGGCTCATGCTTTACCACTTCCACTGTTAGCTGCAATATCTTCCCTCACTCACTGTCACTTACCCTAACCCCTGATACCACTAAACCTGCATGCCCTCTGCGCTACCTATTCACTCACTCGGGACACCTCCCCACTCGCACCAACAGTAATACTGTGCCACCCAATTTCATCTCCCATAATATCTACCTCTCTCTCTCTCATTCCCGGGGGAGAACAGCCCACACTGGGGCAGAGAGACTCAAGTCGATGGTGGGCTGCCTGACATTAGATTCCTTTTAAGGAGCATTTCCTGATTCCGACCACTCTGAGAGCTGACTGACTGTGTCCAAGCCCCTCGACTGGAGTTGGAGGTTACACTGCACTTTCTGTGTCAGAATCCCCGAGGGAAGGCTATCCTGTTTGACTTGGCCAAGGCTAATGGCAAGCTTCCTGGCTTTGTGTTTGCACGGAACAGCACACAACAGTAAGACGAGCCTGGTATCTCTGGCTGAGGGGGCAAACTGCAAAATGGCAATGCAAGGCAGTGATGCCAAGAGGATCCAGGTAGGCTCAGGGTGAGTGAGTGCTATCACAGTGAGCAAAGAGACAGAGATCCAGCCTGGTGCAGTCCATGAGCTGGCAGTGTCTCTCTGTAGGCCCAGCGTTACACTGGAGAGTTACTGAGGCAGCCCAAGGGCCAGCACTGAAGGACTGTAGAGTCCTGTGAGAGGTTTGGAGATCTGCCATGAGGGGTCTTAGAGGCTGGATCATGTCAGATACCAATGTCTATGGACATAGGGAGGGTGTGGCTGGTGACCTGGAACATGCCCTGAGATAGAGGCACCTGGTCTCCAACATGGAGGTTCTTCAGAGCAAATGGTGAGCTGAATCGGTGGGGTACCCACTTCAGTGTCCATGTCGAGAGTTCTCGATATCTAGCTTGTTCGGCAAGTTCGATAAGATGGAATGCTGAATATTAATGAGGTGGGTGGTGCCATCAACAAGGCATTTAAACAAGCAATAATCCCCTCAATTATCAACTCACCTCTGCCCACTGAGGAACTTGCAACACCCTTTGTGAAAAGTATAAAAGCTGGTGTGAGGGCTCTTGTAGTGCAGTCAGGAGGACCAGGTTCAAGTCCTACCTGCTCTTAGATGTGTGTAGTAACACCCTCTGAACAGGTCGATTCGAAAATATCTAAAATGTCAAGAGTGGTCTCAATGAGCTTGTCGCCCAATTCTGCCTCATATCTCACCACAGCCCGGTTCTGAAGGAGGGTCACTAGACTCAAGACATTAATGCTGTTTCTCTTCACAGATGCTGCCAGACCTGCTGAGTTTCTCCAGCAATTTCTGTTTGTGTTTGTTTCACCACAGCCGACATCGCTCAGAGCACTCTGAAGGATTCTGCTCAAAGTGACTGGGTCCAGCCCCCCACAGGCTGTAAACTCAAGGTGCTTGCTTCTTTGAGTGTCTGAGTCGAATGGGATAGTTGATTATACCACACTACAGGATGAGAGTTTGATGACGAAGTGTACACTCCAAACAGAAGTAGCCCTGAGGCACATGCTCTGCACACAGCCAACCCCACATGCAGCCAGATATTTACACTGGAGTCGCATCGAGCGCTCAGGCAGTAGAGACCCCCACTGGAAGCAAGAGCTGTCTGTCAAAGGAATGCAGAGGTGAGCAGAGAGCATGAGAGAAAGAGAGAGACAGACAGACAGGGGTGAGAGAGAAGTAGAGACACAAGGAAGAGATGGGGGAGACAGAGAGAGATGGGGTAGAGAGAAAGAGTGTTGACGTGTGAAAGAGAACGAGACAGGGACAAGAGAGTCGGTGAGACAAGGGAGAGAAAGAATGAGACAGGGGACAGAGGGAGTGAGACAGAGGGAGAGGGAGTGAGACAGACAATGGGGAGAGGCAGTGGAGACAGAGGGCCAGAGTGACAGAAGGGATGGAAAGGGTGGGCAAAGAAAGAACGTGAGAGAAAGAAACTTAAAGGAAAGGCTAAAGAGAGAGAAAGGGAAATGCACAGAGAGGGGAAAACAAAAATAGACAGATGACCATAGAAGAGAGAAAACGTTTCCACAGAGCAAGCTCTTACACACACAAGAAACCCACAAACACTGTGCCAGTGGTGATGTGTCAGGGCTCAGCCTGGGTACACCAGTGACTAACTAGGCTCCTATGCTGAAACTGCATTGTTTACTGCTCAGCTGGCCATATTGACCTCCTACTGAGCAGTATGATCCAACACTGTCCTTGTGGCTAGTGAGGACTGCCGCAAACAAATTCACTACCTCCTGCTCTCTGCCACACAATGAGCTGCTCACATCAACACCCACAAGCTCACACCAGCTCAGAACAACACACACCGGCACACAACAGCTCACAACAACACACACGAGCTCACACCAGCACACACCAGTTCACACAAGCTCACACCAACCCCAGCTCACACCAACCCACTCCAGTCTACCCCAGCACACACTGGCATGGACAGAATGGGCAAGCATACCATGTGCTATCAATAAAAGAGCACACACACAACCACCGTGTCCTCTAGTCCTTCACATGTGCTTGAATCTGCAAGCACGCTCTGTCTGGGGAAACCAGAAACATCTCACCAGAGTCTGCTCATTGAAAACTCTCAGAGCTTACCCTGTGGACGTGAGAGGGAGCAGGCGATGTGAGCTGGTCAGAGCTGACATCAAGCTGCAAGGGACCCATGCTTCAGATGTGTTCATATTTATCCAAAAGTCTTTTGTTCATCCAACTCTGCATATCTAATGTCAACTAAGTAACCCTAATCCCGACACACACAAACCAAGCACCCACTGTAAAACACAGCCATGAGAATGAAGCAGAGCTGAGGCCAAATTCTTCACATTCCCATCTCATTGTTACAACATTTTCATCATCAGACCATCGTTACTTACATTGACCTCACTGAGGATCACATCGATAATACTGCCAATGACAATCAGGAAATCAAATACATTCCAGGGATCTCCAAAATAACCCTAAAAACCAACAGAGAGACAGGGTGTCAGAAAAGGAGTAGTGGAATGGAGGGAGAGAGGAGGCGGTGGGGGAAGAGAGGGAGGGCAGGAAAGGTGAGCGAGGGAATGGTAGGGAGAAGGGACCAGGGAAGTGCAGTTCTGAGGAAGGGTCACTGGACCCGAAAAGTTAACTCTGATTTCTCTCCACATGCTGCCAGACCTGCTGGGCTTTTCCAGTGATTTCTGTTTTTGTTTGTGTAGGAGAGGAGAGAGGTGTGGTGAGAAGAGAGAGCAGAGGGGAACAGTGAATCAGAGAGGAGCAGCAGGTGAAGGTTAGGAGAGATATGGAGCGATCCGGCCAAGGTATATTTAAAGAGAATAAACTTTCCAGAGGGTCCATGCCCTGCTCAGAGATGGAGAGGGAAGTGCTATTGGCTGCAGAGAGCATAATACTGATCCAATCAAATCCCCCGATGATCTGATCCACTTCCCACATGGCTACACCAACTGGTCAGGCCTTGCAGTGCAGGAGCATAGGTCACCTCTGGGATCTACAAAACCTCTGCTGGGACTTATTGATTACTCTGTTGAAGATCGAGAACCACTGAGTACTACTGAGGAATCCAGTAACCTCATCTTAATTGTGATCCACTAGACTACTCTTGTCATTTATTGATCCCGCACGGGGATCCTTTGAATCTCTACACTGCAGGCTCTCCTCTGAGATCCAGTTTCCTCTCTCTGGAATACATTGGATCTCTGAGCTTCAACTGGCAATCATTGAACTGAGATTCACGTTCCAATGCAGGATCACCAAACAGTTTCAGGATACACTGCTGGGTTCAATCTGACCCCTTGTGTCAATAACTGATCCCAGGATGATTAAAAACCAACCCTAAATTACAGTGAAATATTGGGTCAGCATGAAGGGGTAAAGTAGAATAAATAATCAGTGATCCACATCCAGTGGATGATTGAAGGAAACTGTTTGGGGAGAATAAATGAAAACCTTTGGAACCCGTTAGAGCAAACAATACAAACGAGGGGAGTGGACAGATTGCTAGTTCTTGCAGAAGAGGCAAAGGCTGGTTCAGTAGCCTCCGTCAACTGTAACTGTGAGAGTGAGTGAAAGAAAGAAAGAGAAAGGGATGAACAGAATTTATCACTGAGAGAGCTGGAATAAGAGAGAGGGAGAGAAGCAAAGGAGTGATTGTTAAAAGAGGGAAGGGGGGCGAAAAAGGACTGACCACTGTGAGAGTGAGAAAGATGATGAGACAGAGGAACAGGATTGATAACTGTGCGAGAGGGTGTAACAGGGCTGATCACTGTGAGAGTGAGAGAACGCATCAAGACGAATCACCGTTAGAGTGAGAGTTAGACAGAGGGAGAGAGGTAAAGGACAGATAGAGAGACAGGGAGGGAGTGAGGGTGAGAGAGAGCAAGAGAGGAACAGGATTAACCACTTAGAGAGTGTGTGTGAAAGAGAGAGTAACAGAATCATAGAATAAACAGGACTGATAACTGTGTGAGTGAGAGGGTAACAGGTCTGACCACGGAAAAAGTGAGAGAGAATATCAGTACTGATCACAGAGAGTGAGAGAGTGTAACAGAACTGACCACTGTGTGAGTGAGAGGGTAACAGTGAGACACAGTCCATTACTCACCAATTACAGCTCCCTTCTAGAAGGCATGAAAGAAGAGAGAAGCCACAATGAACAGGAGTAACGTTGAAAGCAGGGCGCCCTGTCCCCTCATCAGATTGACACCCCATTACCATCCACACCTCTGTCAGTTTCCCACTTTTGTCTGCTTCAGGCAAAACCCCAGCCTTGACCTCGGGGAATGCAGCCTACTCCCCTTCATATCTCCCACCCTGTCCCTGACTGGTTGCTTAGTGACCAGGTAACTGAGCAGACAATGACATGTAGAGGAGGCTTTTGCTGCAATAACATTCCAGTCGAAAGTTTGGTGTCTAAAACCAGAGGACATGGGATAGAGCGGGGGGAAGTATACTGGTATGGATTGAAAACTGGTTTAGGGACAGGAAACAGTGAGGAGGAATGAATGGATCCTTTTCAAGTTGGCAGGTTGGCTTGGATTGCTGCAAGGATCAGGGGTTGTGGCCTAGCTACTTATAATCTCAACCAATGATTTGGATGTGGGGATTAAATACAATATTTCTATATTTGCAAATGGAACAAAACCACATGTGAATTTGGAGAGGCTGAGTGAATGGTCAAGTATTTGGCAGATGGAGTGTAATACATATCAATGTTCTTATTGTTGTCGGCAAAACAGGAGTAGAGATTATTTCTTAAATGGAGACAGGCTGGAAAGTGTCAAACTTCAAAGGGACTTTGGTATCCTTATTCATGAGGCACTGAAAGTTAGTAACAGGATTTGAATACAAGACCAAAGATGTCTTACTGTATTTGTATAGTGCCTTGTACAGCCTTGCTGAGAGCACACCTGGAGCATAGTCTGCCCAGGTAGAACTGGGGCACACAGTACAACGTAAGGGACAAGCTATTGAAAGCTGAGATAAGGAGGAGTTTTTTCATCTCAAAGATGGTGAATCTTTGGAACTCTCTACCCCAGAGGCTGTGGAGACTCAATGATTGAGCAATTTCAGGGCAATGCTTAAATGCTGTCTACAGTGCAAAAACATCGAGGGATGCAGGTATAGTCCCGGAAAATAGTGTTGAAGTAGAAGATTAGTCATGATCTAGAACAGATTTGATGGGCTGAATGGCCTGCTCCAGTTCCTATTTCCTATGTTCTTTGTGCAGTTAAGACTGCCCCATACCTCATCTCAAGATCACACACCCACTCAGGAACCAGCATTTCAACGGTAATCCCACAGGAACCAGCATTCCTGCTGTTAATTCTATGGTTGTATCCCCACTGTACTCATATTGTAAGATAAATAAGACAACAGCCCATGCTGTTAGGGTGAAGGTACGGCATGGATACAGGAATGGCTGACTGGCAGAAGGCAGAGAATTGGGATAAAGGGGTCCTTTTCGGGATGGTAACTGGTGACTAGTAGAGTTCCGCAGGGGTCTGTGTTGAGACTACAGCTATTCACGTTATACATTAATGACTTGGACGAAGGTACTGACAGCACTGTTGCCAAATTTGCAGATGACACAAAGATGGGTGGAGACGCAAGTAGTGTTGAAGAAGTGGGGAGGCTGCAGAAGGACTTGACAGGCTGGGGGAGTGGGCAAAGAAGTGACAGATGGAATGCTAAGTGGGAAATTGTGAGCTTATGCAATTTAGTAAGAAGAATAGAGGCATAGACTATTTTCTAATGAGGGAAAAGCTTCAAAACTCTGAAGGACAAAGGGACTTAAGAGTCCTAGTTCAGGAGCCTCTTAAGGTGAACATGCAGGTTCAGTTGCCAACTAAGAATGCAAGTGCAATGTTAGCATTCATTTTGAGAGGGCTAGGATTCAAGAGCAGGGACGTACTGCTAAGGCTATATAAGGCTCTTATCAGACCACATTTGACATATTGTGAGCAACTTTGGACCCTGTTTCTAAGGAAGGAATGCTAGCATTGGATGGAGTGCAAAGGTGGTTTACAAGAATAATCCTGGCGATGAAGGACTTGTCATTGGAGGACTCTGAGGACTCTGGGTCTGTACTCTATAGAATTTAAAAGAAGGGGAGGGATCTCATTGAAACTTATAGAATACTGAGAGGCCTGGATGGAGTGGATGTGGAGAAGATGTTTCCACTAGTAGGAAAGATTAGAACCTGAGGGCACAGGCTCAAAGCGAAGAAATGATCCTTTAGAACTGGAATGAGGAGGAATTTCTTCAGCCAGGAACTCATTGCTGTAGAAAGTTGTGGAGGCCAAGTTATTCAGTGTATTTAAAACAGAGATAGATAGGTTGTTGATTAGTAAGGGGATCAAAGGTTATGGGGAGAAGGCAGGAGAATGAAGTTGAGAAACAGATCAGCCATGATTAAACACCGGAATAGATTTGATGGTCCGAATGGCTTAATTCTGCTCCTATATCTTATGGTAAGTAGCATTCCAACAGTAACCTCAAGGGGGAACCAATATTCACACAGTAATCCCACAGTAACCAGATTCCAATCAGTATTCTCGTAATAATCACATGGTAACCATCATTCCCGCAGTAGCTAGCATTCCCACAGTAATCAGCATTCATACAATAATCCCATGGTAACCAGCATTTCCCACTATAATTCCATGTTAACCAACGTTCCCATTGTTACTGCATGGTAACTGATACTCCCACTGTAATCCCATGGTAACCTGCATTCCATAGTGACCAACATTCTCACAGTAACCAGCATTCCTGCAATAATTATTCCCACAGTAATCACACGGTAACCAGAATTCCCAGAATGAATAAAGTGGAGTTGCAGGTAGACAGGGTGATTAAAAAGGTGTTTGTCACGTTTGCTTTCCTTGGTCAGTGCACTGAGAATAGGAGTTGGGAGGTCATGATGCAGCTGTTACAGGACATTGGTTAGGCCATTTTTGGAATACAGCATTCAGTTCTGGTCTCCCTGCTATAGAAAAAATGGTGTTAAACTTGAAAGGGTTCAGAAAAGATTTACAAGAATGTTGTTGGGATTGGAGGGTTTGAGCTCTTAGGGAGAGGGTGAATAGGATGGGCTTTTTTCTCTGGAGCGTCAGAGGCTGAGAGGTTTATAAAATAATGAGGGGCATGGATAGGGTGAATAGCCAAGGCCTTTGTCCCAGGGTAGGGGAGCCCAAAACTAGAGGGAATACGTTTAAGGAGATAGAGGAAAGATTTAAAAGGGACCTAAGAGGCAAAATTTTCACACAGATGGTGGTGCATGTATGGAATTAGCTGCCAGTGGAAGTGGTGAAGGCTGGTACAATGATAAGACATTTAAAAGGCACCTGGATGGGTACATGAATAGGAAGGTTTAAAGGGATATGGACCAAATGCTGGCAAATGGGACTGGATTAGTTTAGGATACTGGATGGCATGGACGAGCTGGACTGAAGGGTCTGTTTCCACGGTGTACATCTCTATGACTCTAATAATCCCACAGTAACCAACAGTAATCCCATAGTGACCAGCGTTCCTGCAGTAATTACATGGTTCCTAGCATTCCCACGATAGCCAGAATTACAGTCTATGAGTCTGAAATTCCATTCTTTGTTTCACTCAGCCTCATACGTACTTTAGCTTTGAAAGCACAAAGTTTAAAAACCATTTCCAATGCGAATAGCCCAGTGAAGACTACATTCAGTATGTCCGACAACTGGTTCATCTCCTCTGATTGCTCATAGTGCTGTGGAAAGAGATAAAGAGGTCAGGATCTGAGCAGATATCACAAATTACAACACTGAGCATGCCCTTCCAATCCAACCTGAACCCTCAGCCCAACCTGCAACTCTGAATCAGTCCTAGACTGTGACATCTGACCCTCATCCCAACCCTGACTCTCACCCCACAGTGACCTCTAACACTCTGCCCAACCAAAACTTTCATCAAAATCCTGACTCACTCACCTCAACCTAAACTGCCATGCAACTCTCACCCCGACCTCTAACCCTCACCACAATCTCAAACCAGTACGCAGAACACACCCAAATAACAAGGCAAATTATTACTCAAATGGGGGGCAGATTCAAAGTGCATCAGTGCAGAGGGATCTGGGCATCTTTGTGAATGAATCGTAGAAAGTGAGTATGCAGGTGTAGCATACAGTAAGAAAGGCAAATGGAATCCTGGCATTTATTGCAAAAAGACTGGATTATAAAAGTAAAGATGTGTCATTTTAACTATATAAGGCATTGGTGAGACCACAGCTGGAGTATTGTGTCCAATTTTAGTCTCCTTACTTGTGGAAGGATGTGGTGGCACTGGAGGCAGTTCAGAGGCGGTTCACCAGATTGATTCCAGGGAGGAAAGGGCTGTTGTACTAGGAGCAGTTGAATAACTTGGGCTTGTACTCACTGGGGTTCAGAAGCATGAGAGGGGAATCTGATTGAGGTGTATAAAATGTTGAAGGGGATTGATAAGATGGACATTGAACAGATGTCCCTCCTTGTGGGACAGTCTCGAACAAGAGAGCGTAGATATAGAGTAAAAAGAGGTAAGTTCAAAGCTGAGATGAGGAGAAACTACTTCTCTCAGAGAATTTGTCGAACTCACTGCCCCAGAGTGCAGTGGAGGCAGAATCAATCAACAGATTCAAGAAAGAAATAGATATGTTTCTGATGAAAAGCTAGATAAAGGGCTATGGGGAGCAGGCAGGAGAGTGGAGCTGAGACCAGGCATCAGCCATGATCATGTTAAACAGCAAAGTAGGCTTGAAGGGCTGATTGTCTACCCCCACACCTAATTCCTACGTTTCTGTATTTACCCAGGGAATATTAGACAGTTTAATATCTGGATTAATCAGCTAATGTAACTGGGCAGAGCACAACAACCAGGCTCTGAAATAAATGCCTCCTACCCTCCCACCAAAACTACCCAAAGATCTGAGTACTTGCCCACTTCACTTACCTCACCCTGCACCCAGCCACCTCCTCACTCACTCACTCACTCAGCCTCTCATCCATTAACTCGCCCCATCACCAATTCACTCAGGCTCTCACTTATTCACTCAGCCCCTCACACTCACTCACCCAGCCACCTCACCAATTCACTCACTCACTCCCTCCCTCACCAACTCCTCACCCCCTCACTCATTCCTTCACACCCTGCACTCATTCATTCAAAGTCCTGAGATATTTGAAAACATATCTGAATATGACAGCCACTTTCATGGCCTCTCTGTCCCCAGCTCTCTTACGAAAACTAGATTTCCTCCTGAGAGACATTATTGGTTCATTTTTGCTTCAGCTGAGATTGTTGACACCACTGAGAATGGGCACTGTGGTTGGATTGGGGAAAACTCCTCAGATATTGCCAGCGCACTCAGCCAAGTGCAAGATCATCAGTGCCATACTGACAGAAACGGCCTCCACACAGTCACTCCCTCTGTTCCCAATATTTATTGCCCTGAAATCCTAAATCCCACTCCCTCTCTGACCCAAACTCATCCATTCCACTCTCTCAACCTATTTCCCAAACTCCCCACCCCCCAACCAAAACCACATGTGCATACAAAAAGCATATCATATGTACATCAATGTGAATATACACTGCAGTGGGTGGTGCTCACTCACCTGCATCCCAAGACAGATGGTATTGAGCAGGATGAGGGCAAACATGAGGTATTCAAAGTATGAGGAGGTCACCACATACCACACGTTGTACTGATATTTGTTCTTGGGAATGTACCTCATGAGGGGTCGTGCCTTCAGGGCATACTGGACACACTGACGCTGCACAGGAGACAGAAATACAATTAGCAACATAGCCCAGGAAAGGACAGAGCCAGTGGGAATGGCAAACACAACCAACAAAAAAGGGAACACGTAACATCCAGAGAAAGGATGTGGGTGGGAATTATTACTGTAGTGGGGATTATTCCTTGGGTACAGGTTGTGGGTAGTATTATTACTGGGGTGCTTCAAGTGGGTGAGAATTGTTAAAGGAACAGGGATTATCACTTGAGTACAAGGTATGATGGAGATTATTACTGGAACACAAGGTGTGTGTGAGAATTATCACTGGGGAAACAGGTTGTGGTTGAGGACTGTTATTGGAGAACAGAGTGTGGTAGGATTGTTGCCTGGGTAAACAGTGTGGGTGAAGATTTTTTCTCAGGAATGAGATGTGGGCATGGTGTGTTACTTGGGTACATGGCAGATGAATCAGGATTATTACTTGGGTATAGGTGCAGTGAGGTTTGTCAGTCGAGTGTGAGGTGTACACAAGGAATGCTATTTGGGTATCGGCTGTGTTTGAAGATTTTTTACTCGGGTTACAGGTTGTAGGTAATGATTGTTACTTGGGTTTTGATGGGGACTGATACTCAGTACAAAGTGTGAATGAGGAAAATTACTTGTATGAAGTGTGGGCATGGATTATTACTCAGGTACAGGTGCAGGCAAAAACTGTCACTCAGGAATGAGAGGTGAGTGACGATTGTTACTCAGATATCAGCACTGGTGTGGATTGTGACTGAGCTACAATCTGTGAGTGGGGATGATGACTGGGCTACATGGTGTCGGATGGGGTTAATTACTGCAGAATGAGGTGTGGATGTGGCTTGATTAATGCAAAGCGTACCGTTTATGTATAACTCAATATCATTTTTAGAATTTGGAATTCAAATTAGAGGTAGATGGGTATTAGTTACTTCTATGAAAAGTTTTCTTTTAAAAAAAAAGATGGTCAGAGGGTCCTTTTGGAATACTGAGTGAATCCATCATTTTGTCAGAAAGCAGGTAACTGCTGACTCCTGAGAAAATGTTTATGTTGTTGAGTTTACAGCAGTTTGGTAAACATTTAAAACCATTAGCTTTGTTCCCAGTTCCTTCTCTAAGAAGGATCCCAGATTGAAAGAAGATAGGTTCAGAGTTAATTTAGCTTGTCTCCTAGAAGGGCAGTTCAGGAAACCAGTTACCTCAGCAGAAGGAATTAGATTGTAAAGCTTTCAAACCAGGCGAGTTTGACTGGAAATATGCACATAATTAGAACCGAGCATGTTTAGGCTCTCAGAATTGTGAAAAATTTGTGTTGAAGATTTGGAATGGATTCAGTGAATTGTCTCCGCAGTCCACAGCAAAGAAATTGTCAGGATTCAGTTAATTAGAAACTTAGAGTAAAGATAGGGGCGTTATTTCTCTGGACTTGAGACTCTGCCATGTATAATGTTGGGCAACAAGCTGAATCTTTCTTTTGCTGTGTTTTGTGGTCTTTCTAACTCTCTTCTGCATTTTGATCGCTTAGTTTACTGTCTTTCTTCTTTTTGCATTGTTACATTCTGCCCTGTGTTAAAGCAAGTCTGCAGCCTTGTGCAAACATATCCCAGCGACTAACCACCAGATTAACAAATTAAGCAAAGACAAATATCTATCAAGCCAGGTTTCTTTCTGGGATCTGACATGTCCAGTAGTACCATCACCTTAGACTGTAACAAATGTTACTGGCATATTGAGTGTGGGGCAATATTATTATTCAGGTATGCAGTGTGGGTGAGGATAGGACTGTTACTTGGGTATGGGCTATAGATGAGGATTATTACTCGGATACAGGCTACGAATGAGGATTGTTACTCAGGCATGGGCTACGAATAAGGATTGTTACGCAGGTACGGGCTACAGATGAGGATTGTTACTTCGAACAGGCTACGGATGAGGATTATTACTTGGGCACGGGCTATGAATGAGGATTGTTACTCAGGTACGGGCAACGAACGTGGATTGTTTCTCAGGCACGGGCTACGAATGAAGATTGTTACTCGGGCACGGGCTACGAATGAGGACTGTTACTCGGGCATGGGCTACAAATGAGGATTGTTATTCGGGCACGGGCTACAAATGAGGATTGTTATTCGGGCACAGGCTACGAATGAGGATTGTTATTTGGGCATGGGCTACGAATGAGGATTGTTACCCTGGTATGGAGTAAGGGTGAAGGTTTTACTTGGGTATGGGCTATGGATGAGGATTGTTACTCAGGTACGGGGTGAGGGAGAGGATTGTTACCTGGTTTTTGTCGAGCTCACAGTTCTTGTATTCAGCCTCTCCCTGTTCCTGGAACGTTACAATGACAAACCCCACAAAGATATTCATCATGAAGAAAGCAATGAGAATGATGTAGATGATGAAGAATATTGAAATGCCGACTCGGTAGTTGTAGATGGGGCCCATGTCTTCAGTGTGAGAGTCAATGGCTTTGTACAATAACCTGAGTGGCAGAGATAACTGTTACCTCTGGTCTGGGCATTTAGTCAGCACCCTGCATAATCCTTAGCTCGCACTTTCCGTTAAATCAATCCCATAGCAAATCTTAATTGCAATACAGCAAAAGGGAATTAAATGAGAGGAACCAGGGAAATCCTTCAGTTGACTTACTCACCCTATCCCAAATAAGTGCTTGGACCACCCAAGCCCCAGTACCAATGGAACCACAGCTTTAAGTATAGTCAGAGTCGGTACCCTGGGGACTCAATGAGACAAGCAGATTTGACAGAGATTCTGAATGGTCCTTGAAAATACCGACAATTATTACCCCTCCCTCAGTACTCACTCAGCCCCTCCCTCAGTACTCACTCAGCCCCTCCCTCAGTATAGGGGGAGGTGGTGGCATAGTGATAACATCACTGGACAAGTAATCCAGCTTAATGATCTTGGGAAATGGGTTCAAATCTGATTGTGGCAGATGGTGAAATTTGAATTTAATCAAAAATGTCTGAAATTAAACACTAGCCTAAAGGCAACCATGTAAATATTACTGATTGTCCTAAAAATCCAGCAGGCACACAAATGTGTTTTGGGGAAGAAGACTGCCATTCTTACCTGGTCTGGCTACATGATTCTAGATCCACAGCGATGTGGCTGGCTCTTAACTGCTGTCTGGGTAATTAGGGATAAGCAATAAATGCTGGCCTGTTCGGAAATGCTGACATCTCATGCATGAATAAAAAAAGCATCATTTGGTCCCTCCTTCAGTACTACCAGCCCTGTCCTCAGTACACACTCGGCCCCTCCCTCGGTTCTAACCAGAGCCCCAGCCTCGGTACTCACTGGGGCCACCCCTCGAAGGTGGAAACTGTAAAGAGAGCCATCATCGCCAACAACACATTGTCAAAATTGAAGTCGCTATTAAGCCACATTCGCTCCTGGACTGAGAGCTGATCTGGTTCACCATAGACAATGAACTGTCCTCTGAGTGAGAGGAGAAAGGAGGGAGCAGGAAAGAGACAGAAAGAAAGGGGTAGAGAGAGGGGTAAGAGGGTTGGGAGAGTGGAGTAAGATGATGTAAAATGAAGAGAGTGAAAGAGGGAGAAGGGGGGACAGAGGGGCAGTGGAGAAATTGTAGGGGGAGAGACAATGGATAGGATAGGGAAAAGGAAGAAAGAGAAGTTGGGGAAGACAATGGAAGGGAGTTTAGGGGTTGGGGTGTAGCGTGGGGAGTGAGGGGGAATGAAAGGAAGTGAGAAGAGGCAAAAATACGAGAAGGAGACAGGAAGGCAGAGGTATCAGGGATAATGGAGAAAGAGGGCAGAGAGAGTGGGCCAGGGATTGGGAGAGGGGAGGGAGGGAGCGGGGGGAGAGAGAGAGAGAGAGTGGGAGAGAGAGAGAGAGAGAGCACAAGGGGTTGGGAGATAGAGTGGGGAGAAAGGGCGAGAATTACAAAGAGGGAGGAAGGGATGGGAGAGAAAGTGAGGATGAGAGGGAGGGAGGGACAGGAAGAGAGAAATAATGAGTGCAGTTTTCAACAGACTTTCAAATATGGCAGAATAAGTTGAGAAGGATGTTGCATGACACTTGAAAATCTTGGTTTTTATAACTGAGACACTGCATACAAAAACAAGGAAATTATGCTGAACCCTTAAGTAAGAACTGATCGATCCCAACAGTCGTATCATTTTCAATTCTGTGCATCACTTTAGGAAGGACATCACGGCCAGAGGAAGAGTAGAGGAGAGTTTTACTAGAATTATTCCAGAATGAGGGATCGACTGCAGAAGCTGTGATTGTTATAGAGGTTTAACAGCTTTTTCAACTGAGGTGTTCCAAATGATGAGGTAGATATAGTTCATGCAAGGAGTCTGACAAACAATGCAGATGAGTTGAGAGCACAAATTAAAACATAGGGCTGAGATGTCAATGCTGTGACTGAGACACGGTTGAGAGAGGGGCAGGATACAGGATAAAAGTTGTCCCAGTTTTGGCCAGGAAACCTATTACAGTAGTTAGAAGGTATGAGACATTTGAATAGAACTTAAAAACCAGAAAGGAGCAAGCACATTGCTGGGAGTGTCCTGTAGACCCCCTGATAATCCGAGAGAAACATGTAGACAAATTTCAGGGAAGAGGAAAAGTAATGGGGTAGCATTAGCAGGAGAGTTCAACTTCCCCAATATTAACTGGGGTCGTCATAGTGTGAAAGGCTTGGAGAGACAGGAATTCTTAAAATGTATCCAGGACAGCCTTTTAAGCCAGAACGTGGAAGACCCTACAAGAGAGAGGATGGTCTGGACTTAACTTTAGGTCACAAAATTGGGCAAGTGATTGAAGTACCAGTGAAGGAGCATTTTGCAGACAGCAATTGTAACTCCATTAGATTCAAGTTTGTTATGGAAAAGGGCAACGATGGGCCTGAATTCAAAGTTCTCAAATTGAGAACAGGCTGCTTTTAATAAGACCATATATGATTTGGCCAGAGTGTGCTGGGAGCAGATACTTCCAGAACAATGGGGTGCATTCAGGAAGGAAAATGGAGAGTACAAAATCCTGGATACCGAGGAATATACAGTATTGGATTAAGAGAAAAAGGAAGGCTTATATCAGATACAGAGAGCACAAGACAGAAGAAGCCCTACAGGAGTGTAGAATATGCAATGGGGAACTTACAGAAGAAAGCTGGAGAGCGAAAAGAGGATATTGAAAGATACTGACAGGTAAAATAAAGGAAAATCCTAAGGTGTTTTACAGGTACATTAAGAGTAAAAGGAGAATGTTGAAAGTGTAATTTATATATGCAGCCAGACGATGTAGGTAGGATTCTAAATGAATACTTTTGGTTTGGTGTTCACTGGTGAGAGGGATAACATACCTACAGAAATCAGGGAGAAGGACTGTGATACAATTAAAGAAATTAGCATAGACAGAGAGGAGGTTCTGAGTGGTCTGGCAGGATTAAAAGTAAATAAATCTTCTGGGCCAAATGAAATGTATCCCAGTTGTTGAGTGAGGAAATGGAATAAAATAGCAGGGATGCTTGCGAAAATTTTCAATTCCTCTCTGGCCACAGGAAAGGTGCCAGAGGACTGGAGGGACAGACAATATGGTACCATTATTCAAGAAAGAAGCAAAAGATAAACCATGAAACTACAAGCTAGTTATAATCACAGTGGTGGGGAAATGGTTGGAAGCAATTCTGAGGGACAGAATTAATTTGCATTTGGAGAGGCAGGGATTAAGCAAGAACAGTCAGCATGGTTTTGTTAAGGGGAGGTCTGACCAATTTGATTGAATTCTCCATAGAGGTGACCAGGTGTGTGGGTGATATGGACTGCATGGACTTCAGCAAGACTCCTGATTAGGTTCAGCATGGGAGACTGATAGCAAAGGTAAGAGCCCATGGGATCCAAGAAAATTTGTCAAATTGGATCCACAATTGGCTGAGTAGCTGGAAGCAGAGGGTGATGGTAGAGGGCTGTTTTTCTGATTGGAACTCTGTGTCCAGTGGGGTACCACAGGGGTCAGTGTTGCGCCTCTTGCAGTTTGTGGTTTATATAAAATAATTTAGACTTAAAAGTAGCAGGGTTGATCAGTAAGTTCACAGATGATACAAAAATTGGTGGGGTGGTAAATAATGAGGAGGATAGCCTTAGATTTCAAGACAATATAAAGGGGCTGGTCAAATGGGCTGATCAGTGGCAAATGGAATTCAATCCAATATCCAGATAAGTGTGAGGTGATGCACTTGGGCAGGACAAACAAGGCAAGGGGAATACATGATAAACAATAGGGCCCTGTAAAGCACTGAGGATCAGAAGGACCTGGTGCGTGTACACCAGTCCCTGAAGGTATCAGGAAAAGTGGATCAAGTGGTTAAGAAGGCATATGGGATAGATGTCTTTATTCGTTGAGGTACAGAGTTTAAGAGCCGGGACGTTATGCTGGAATTGTATAAAATGTTGGTTAGGACACAGTGTTCAGTTCTCGAATCCACAGGGTGCAGAGGAGATTGACCAAGGTGTTGCTTGGGCTGGAGAATTTCAGTTATGAAGAGAGATTGGACAGCCTGGGGTTATTTTGCTTAGAACAAAGGAAATTGAGAGGGGACATGATTGAGATATTTAAGATTATGAGGGCATAGATACGGTAGACAGGAAGAAACCTTCTTCCTTGATGGAGGAATTGATGACCAGGGGCACAGATTTAAGGTTAATGGGCAGGGAATTTAGAGGAGATGTGAGGAAAGGTTGCTCGCCAGAGGGTGGTGGGGATTTGGAGCTCACTGCCCGTGAAGGTCAGAAGTTACACGACACCAGGTTATAGGTTTATCTGAAATCACAAGCTTTCAGAGCCCAGCACTCCAGAAGCTTGTAAGTTCAGCTAAACCTGTTGGACTATGACGTGTAACTTCTGACCTTCACGGGCAGTGAGCTCCAAATCCCCACCA